AAATCATCGACGGTTTAAATGTTGAAGAAATACGTTTAGAATTTCTTTGAGATGATGGTGAAGGTGAACGAGATCGTTTATCATCATTGTTATCATTTGTCTAGAAAAAAGAATATAGTTAATGATGAGTAAGTCATAATGATTGAGTCATTTTTACATGTCATCTTTTCATTTTATTACAAAACAAAATATATTACGAGGCGCACTGAAAAAATCTCTACAATTTACAAAGAAAACTTTATTTTATATATGTACTTTTTGTTCTATGCAAACAACAGAATTCTATTAAAACAAATTTTTGATGCTTTGAACAAGATCGTTTTTTGATGAATAACTAATTCGCTTTTTTTTTATCTGATCAACTGAAGAAAATTCTATTCATTGATGATAAAGATACTTTTCATTAGAATGTGTTTTGAATAAGCTAAGTATTCAAAAAATGATTAGACACTTCTAAAAATGGTCTCACTAAAGGTAAACAGTTGCCAGTCAATAATTTCATCTATTAATAATAAAAAAGAAAACATTAATAAGATGCACAGAGTATTTCATAGACAAGCACAGATGACCAACAAATAATTCTGATCTCAAAGTTCTGGATTATTATATATGGGACATCATTGACAATAGTACACAATAGGATAAAGTTGAAAATTATGATTCTTTAATCGTTGAAATAACAAAATTAATTCATTGTGTATCAAAGAATGATCTAGTGCGCAATGTCGAAAATTGGTCGAACAGAATTTCATCCTTTTTTTGACATAAAAGATGCATATACATAAAATATACTTTTCTTTGTAAATTGTAGAGATTTTGTCAGTGCATCTTGTGATATATTTTAGTTTTGTAATAAAATATATTAGATTATGAAAAGATTACATGGAAAAAGCTGCCATTCATTATGGTCCACCTGCTGTTTAGAATTATGATTAAAAGAGTTGCTGTTGCAGAGAATTAATTAAGTTTTCTGCTAATAAAATTTTTGTTCGAATTGAAACAGAAGCCCGAAATAACTAATCCAGTTTTGTATCTAAAGTTGTAGATCTCCATTTTATGGATTCAAATGTCAGTTACACAGACTAAACTACATATTTACTTTTAAGTGCAATGGGTAATCGAACATCTGTGTATGCTAAGAATATTTAGTAGTATCGAATGATCGATCATCGTTGGATACTCAACACTAGTCATTTATTATGCCGGAATTCGAACCACATGACCCATATCTATTTAGAACACATCAGTCGTGACAATTTGACATTGGATGCAAGTTTCATACGATCATAAGAGATATCGTTCTCAATAAAAAAGTGTTGGCCTTGGTTGCGGCACTGGGACCATCTTCAATATATCTATACTCAGACGCGCTTATCAGTGTATGCCAAGAGCTCGAAACGAGTCGCACGACTTGAACTTTATTTCGCTTTTCAAGAAAGATTTCTCACGTAAGAAAACAGAAAAACATTTGATTTTTCAATTCCGGACACAAATTTCATTTGATGTTAATCTTTCTAAATCGATTTTTGATAAAGTTTCAACCAATAAAACTATTATATTAATTGATTAAAAAAGACGAAATCTCACTCTTTGAAATTGATCAGTGGGTATTTTACTGATCAAAGTCTATGTTAATAAATCATAGTCTTCAAGAAGTTGAAGTCTTTGTCTGTCTGTCTGTTCAATAACTAATTCGACTTATATCTCTTATGTTGTTTTTTCAAGCATTAAAATTGTCCGACCTGATTCAACTTATGATCCTATGATAAAGAATTTTTTACAATGTTCTCATAAATGACTGCAGTAAGTCTATTAAAAAGTGGTCCAATTTTGAGATCTGGAGTATGCCTTATCCAGATTAACGAACAAACTCCACTAAGTGATAAATCGATCCTATTGAAATAAATGAAAGCTTAAAAGGATTCATGTCCATAATATCAGAGTTTTTAGTATTTCCTATCCTCAAATATCAATATCGAAAATTCTTTTCAAATCTTCATGATTGCGACTGAAGAAAACTTTTATTTTTTTTATACTGGACATCAGATAAGAATCATCTCAAAAGTAATTCATTATTTGGTAAAATTTTCTTATGATTTGTAAATAATGATGATAGATTATACTAACTAATTTCTTAATTAATTTTAAACATGATTGTATTTGTTCTTCAATATTTTTTATAGAATTTGATATAATTAAAGGTAAATTTGGATACTACAAGAAAAAAAACCAAATAGGTTTTATCAAAAAAAAAGAAATAATTAAGAAAATCAACAAACTTGTCGAAGTTGAATAATTGAATCTAGAATAATTTGTAATTGTTCTTTTTTCATATATTGAAATTGAAAATGTTTTATTGTATTTAAATAAGATTTTATAATAAATGATGTATGATTATTAGTTGAATTATGAATTGATTCAAGAAGATTTATTGCAAGATGATAATGAGAATGTTCTTCATTTAATTTATCAATTAATAAAGTTGGTAAAGAAAGTAATTCAATACAAAAATAACACATTGATTCAATTAAGATTGATTTATAAGCTATTGTACTATGATCCGATACAAAAGGTAGATAACGAGAAATAAGATCAAATGTTAATTCTTCAATAAGTAAAACATTTGAACTAAAATTAAAATAAAAAACAAAAAACAAATAGAAAATATAAGAATCATTTAGAAATTTAACGAACATTGATAAATGAATAAAAAAATAGAAGAAAGAAGTTATGTCATCTCGTTGATATTGATTAATCGATCGATAATCATTTGAAAAACGATAATCAAGTATAATTTTAAGTAGAGCAATATTTGGTTCAAGATGAGAACTAAGAAATAATTTAATAAGACCAAATACAATAGTATTTTTTATTTCAATATTCTACAAAAAAAAAAAGTTTTGAAAAATTCAAATTAATTGAAATATTGATTACTTGTTGATCAAAAAAATTTAAAAAATATTGTGTTGTAAATTGAGAAGATGTTAAATTTAATAAATTTATATTTGTTAAAATATCAAGACCATGAACAAGAAGAACATCAATAAAAGTGGATATTGATTGACATTTTAATGAGATATTTTCGATTTTATTCTAAAATCAATTTTCTTTTAAAATTATGATCCTCTTAAAATCCTATACTAAGAATCTCGTATTGTCGAAACGACTATCCAACTCCGAATAGAAAATTTTGTTGAGAGTATCAAAGTAAGATTCGACAGGATCCGGGTCCGAAAACTTTGGATCCGACAGATTCTACTCTATAGTTTACATGCTTTGCATGGCAGACAGACATTTAACTTTCGTTCTTAAAAATGGCTTTCTTTTGTTCAGAAATGATTGCATATCACTCAAGAAATCATTTTTAAGACAATAGAATATTTTTGGGAAGAAGATTTTTCGAGAGAATGTCTTGTACCATACGTCATCGAGTATAGTTTTGCGTGCTGATTCGGAATATAGCATTGATTTTTCAATAGAAATAGTTTGAAGTCTGAAAAAAAGAAGTTTATCGGAAACATTGGTTTTGTGGCTCAGGAGCGTTTATGCTAACTGTAGTGACAGAGAATACAAAATAAAGCATTCGGATACAGTTTAAGCAGATTTGAATTGGCACTAAGAGATGCGCATTTGTTTTAGTAAACTTAGCCTTTCGAAAATTGATTTAGAAAAAACTTTTATTTCTTTTTTCAAACATTATACATTCATATTTAAATAATTCTTTAATAATCGATGCCAAACGATATGCAAATTCAGAGTATCTACTGAGCGTACCTATCAGATGGTTTAATTTTATCTAAAATTGATTTTCTCATTGATACCAGTATTTCCAAGCTAAGTTTCGAATTCTGGTTAGTCCACTCAAATTAGAATTCGTAGCGAAACCTCTTACAACATTAGATAGAGCATGTCTCAAAGTATATTGATTACTATTTGAATTGATGAAAGCGTAATCTTCGTTATTTCAACTAAAATTCGCTTGGGTGCACATTGTGGTCTCCATTTCCGAAAGCTCTTAAGATCATCTTGACTAAAAATTCTGAAACTATCAATGCAAGCAGATCTCATTCAGTATAAAAAAAGCTCTGCTGAAGGACTCAATGACTATAACTAGCCTAAAGTTTTTCCTTACGCTTTTCTTCATCCCACTACAGCCAACAGCAGAGAAATTTTCTCTGTAACATCTATGCATACTATTTTAACCATCAAAAAATCTTGAATTGTAAGCACAGGGGAATCACATTATTCGTAGCTGTGTGAAAAAAAAACATGTTTTCTGATGTGTTACAATTTTTGTAAGATTTCCTGTAATTCGTCAATATGAAATTTTTCAACGACAAGAAAAAGATAAAGTTCAATTTATTTGGAGACGCAACAGAAAAATTTTAGCCTTATCGATTGTAGACCGTAAGAAGAAAGCTTTGAAGTTTCTATGAAAAATATATTTCAAGAGAAGCGAAAAGACAATTAAAACTTATCATTCTTAGCATATTTTTTTAGCGTGAACAACAACAAAAATCCGAAATATTCGAGTCATGAATAAAGAAGCAATGCTCTTAAGCATAAATAATATCACGTTTTGTTCACTGATATAATAAAAGGGTTGTAACCCTCGTCGCCGAAAAGCATTTCATCCAAAGACTCGTAGGACGCTTTAGACTATTGCGAGCCCTCTAATTCTTATATAGGCTTGTTCAACATGAAGAGATCAAGTCATTTGGCCCTCACTCTCATCTTTGGGGCGTCCTCTGTGGCTAAAAAGTACTTTCGACGAAGTGTGTTTCGACGAAGAACATATATACCGATTATAAGAATTGATTTTTAACTATTATGAAAGACAACGTACAGTTATATGAAGATTTTGTTTGATATATTCAATTGCTGCTTGTCGAGAATGACACATAAGAGATCGTAATGTTGATAAAGTTTGAGATTGAATATTAATATCTCTATGTGACAAACCTGATTTAATCTAGACAAAAAAAGAAAAATTAATTTAATTTTTATATTTTTCAATTTTATTTACTAATGAATCAAGTAATTTTTTTAAATCTGTATTATTTAATTCAAGTTCTTTTTCTTGTTCAATAAATACTTTTGCTATAGTCATACATTGTATAAATGTTAATTCTTCAAATTGTTCATTTTGACAACGTTGAATAATATCATTTAATGTATATGTTATTAATTGATATCGTTCATTAATTGTATCTATTGATAAATGAATACGATGAACAAGTTGAAGTGCTTGTACAATTATTGTTTCATATTGTCCAAAATGTACAAGTATACAACGACCTATAGCTTCAATACATTTACGACGATATATATCAAGCATATCAAATGTTGAAAGAATTGATGCATATTGATAAATAATAAATTCTTCTATTGAAGATAATTTTTTATTAACAGATAATTTAATTAAACGATAAAAATATGAAATAAATTCATGAAAATCAGGATGAATATTTGTATCATCATCTTCTTCATTCATTAATTGACATAACATACGCCATATAAATAAATATTCAACATAATTTGATACATTTGAAAGTAAAAGACCATCTCTAAAAACAAAAAAATAAAATTTTTCTCTTTAATATAAAAGTATTCAAGAAAATCTTTTTTCAAAATTTAATTCATATATATAACAGATGCACTCTCAAGAATGACTCCATTCATATTTATCTCGCTTATGTTTCGTTGTAGAATCATGCATTTATTTTTGAAAGACTTCTCATTAAGATTTATACAAAATCATATAGAAACAGTTTATCTAATTTTTTTTTGATTTGCAGAGAAGATCGAATCATTCTGTTGAAAATCGATCTTGGTCCAAGTGAATTCAAATCGTATGAAATTTTCAAGATTTGTTAGAACTATAGTGAAGAGGTTATACTAAAATATTCAATCCTATATCATAAGGTCTTCGGAAGACATTCAATAAACAAGGGTCAAAAATAGCTCATTTGACAATTCAAAATCTCTCATTCTATAGATTTAATTTCTTTTTAATTTGAAAGAGCAGGCCAGATTGTATTGCTTGATAAAATTTTTTTTTTTTCTATTACGAAGAAAAGAATGACAAATTCAATATCTCGAAAAACTCTCAAAAAAATGATCATCTATTTATAATAGTATTTTTTTTACATAATAAAAAAGTTGAATCCAAAAAAAAAATGAGCTATGCAGCTTTACATGCTCTTTCAAACAAAGAAAAAGCAATTGGCTACAATGAAGTTTCTTCGAGAACTTTGAGATGCGCGATCAGAAAAGTATAAACAGAGATAAAGCGAAAAAGATTTCTCACTTTTTTCTAATGGGAATTATAAAAAAATTTGGCAAAAATCGAAATAACAAATAAAAGAATCATATCGTTTATAAAACATTTCCAATATTTGGTAATTATTCTTCTTTTTTTTTTATTCAATATCAAAATATAATCATCTGATATTATTTTTCTGACTGTTTTAGTCAATCTCAATCAGATATTATTCATCACTATTCGACAAACCGATAGAATAATGAGAAAAGTCATAATAAACCATAGACATACAAAATCAGCGTTTACTAGACATATCATATCTTATTTCGATACTTATATGTATAGTGTAAAAGACGCCCTATTACTATAGTTATATCTTACAATAGGAACAACGGGCAAGATCTGAAACCTTCACAAAAAGAAAACTATTCTCGTTAAGATCTGTATCAATACAAAGTTTCAAGTCAAAATTCGAAAATAAGTTTTTCTTGTGTTCCTGAGGGGAGTATCAAAGCGTTCGTTCGAAAAATATCGTAAAAATGCAGTATCTTGACAGCAATAATATAAGAGTCCGAACTCTTTTTAGTATATTCGTAAGTCATTATGATCTAAATGAAGTATATAGTCTCAACTCACTATTCGATTAATCAATCGGGAGACTTCTCTCGTGAGATAATATTGAATCATATTCGTATATAAAACTGATTTATGATGATTTCATTATATATATATTTAAACTTACTTGCTTGTACCAATAGCTAATTTTATATTATTAATAACAATTCGACGAATATTATTATCATCAAGAAAATATCGTAAACATGTTTCAATAGTTAAACTATTATTATTTTTCTTATTTTCATTTAAAGTTGATATTTTACACAATCGAAGAATATCAACAAGTTCATATCCACTTTGACTAATCCATTGAGTAAAAATAAGACGTGATAAATCACGAGATTTACTAGCAACTTGAAATATTATTAATCGACCATGAAAATCTAATTTATCAAATGTAAAACCTCGTTCATGAGCTAATAAACTTTCAAAAGCTAATTGTGATAAATCATTATCAGTTTCAATTGTTGAAAGAAGAAAATTCAAAGAAGAAGATGAATATTCAAGTAATGATATAATTAGACGTCGTCGATCTAAATATGAAAACCATTTTGGTGAATTGATTCTACGAAGAAAAGCTACAAAAGAAGAGAAGATTCATGTATTGTTTTGTTTTTTAAATTTCTTTTAATAAAAAATTACAAACCATCAATAAATTGATGATTTTTATGTTGAAATTTAGCAGCTAATGGTATAATTTCATCAAGAACAAGAAATGTTGTTTCATTATTAAGTAATTCTAATAAATATTGTTCAAATTGATCAGGTATATAAGGTGATCGAGATAGATCAATAAATGATTGAAGTTTATTTAAAATATGAAATGTTGTATAACGAATTTGACTATCAACGGCTACCATTGTCTAAAATAAATTTAACAAAAAAAACTAAAATTTTAATTGATCATATTGGTTTTATTTACCTGAGTAAATATATCAATAAGAGCATCAAAAACCAGTGATAAATTTTTATTATTTTTGTAATTAATATGTGTAACATGTGTTAATGTAATTAAAAAATCTAATATTCGCATATTTTTATTTGTATGTTGATGAATAAAAACAATTTTAACACATTCAATTAATGTATCTAACATATCTAATGTTATCTTACAACAACAACAACAAAAAAAAAAGAATTAAATTATTTCAAAATAGATTTTTGTGCAAATAATCAAAACAAAACTTACATTTGATAATGAAAATAATTCAATCATAGATGTTACTTGATCATATGTTTCATGACCTCGCTCAAATGTAAGACGTTCAAATATTTGAATTATTGGAGATATATTTTCTTCTTCTTCTAGTTCTTGTATTTCTTCATTAATATCCATCTATATACATATATATATATAATAAGTTAAATAAAACAATAAAATAATTTATATTCGAAAAGAAAAAAAAGTCTAACGAACAAACAATTCAATAATAATAAGTCGATAATCGAATCTCGTAAATTTGAATGTACGAGTAAAGGCTATCGATAGATGACGCAATTTTCTTGCGAGAATTCAAGCATATTATATAGAACGCTACATCAGTAATAAAACATGCATGTTGAAAATATTAATTTCTTAAATCTTCAATAGTAAATTACATTCTACAGACTCTGTTCTCATCTATATTATTGTGTTGTACATTCAGTATTCTACCATGATTTTTCATTTATATGAAAAACTTAAGAAAAACTCGAATTTTTTTCGTTTCAAAGTTTAAAACTTTCGACATTTTGTAATTTTACTATTTTCTGTCAAATTCGACTCATAACGTATGGCACGAAGTATTCACTCATTTTTCGGCTATTTTAAGACAGCTAGTTAGGATTAGAATTTTTCGCTACTTCCGAATATACAATACTAGACAAAATTTATTAAACGATCTTTTGAAATGAGTTTTTTCCTAGGGTTGTTCTAAAAAAACACTATATCCATCATTTTTTATATTAAATGATAGTTTTTTTTAAATTCTGCACAAAGTGGTATACTTTATTTAACGAATATAGTTTTCTTCATTTTTTTTTGAATCAAGTGTAATTGTATAGTAAAACCAAATCCAGATGTAAAATTTTCTTTTTCTCAACTTTTTGGATAGAAAGTTTTATTTCGTCTATCTGTGTTGCCTTTTTTGTGATGTAATGCCAATTCTATGGTTTTAACCAGTTCATCGCATAATCTATAAGCTAATAGACGTCAATCAGGTGAATTCGGGATCAACGGTTCTTGAAAATGAATGCAGAAAAATGGTCAGCATACCGTTTTTTAACATAAGCAAAGTTAGTACCGCATTCAACTTTGTCTTGCATAGATTTGTTTCTTGACTTGTGTTGGTTCTCTTTCTGGTTGTGTTAGAAGCAGAATTTCATGTTCTATTGGATGGTACTACTTTCAGCGAAGGTCATCATGAAAAAAATACAGTTTTAGTCCGGAATACTGTCTTTTCGACTATGATTTCGGGATATAACTGCAAGACTTGTGTTGACTTCCTAATCAATTTTGTCATGTGCAGAATTTTAATCTCGATCGAATTGTACTATTTTCATCATCGGACAAAAGCAGCTTTTATCCGAAATACTAGATTTCTATTCTGTGCTGTTGGTGAATCTGTACTTGCTCTTATTCGGATTTGTTTTCTAGCTTGCATTCTCTTCATATTTGATTGTATTAAATTAAGAATGAAATCTAATTTCAACAATGCAAATGATATACTATGCTAAATTAGCAAGTAATTGTAAGTGAAAAAAGAGTATTGAGTCCGCTTTTGTTTGCATTTAATATATCTAGTATTGAATGTTATTGTAATTCAAAGAAAATATTGACTGCACCGATTTTTACTTTTTCATTTTTCTTAATTATTATTATATAGAAATTTTCTTCTGATTAAGAGAACACATGGTGTATTTAGACGAAATAATAGAATTCTTTTTTTTTTCGTGATAAAGCATTAGTACGTAATATGAATTTCTTTCACTGTAAGTCGAAATGATTGGATTGCAAAAGTTATTCTTGATACACACACGACTCATCGAAAAAAATTACAAAATATTTACGATAGCGGATTCAAATCAAGGTAAGCAAATTTATGTCGAGGAGAGCATATAAAGAGAGAATGGAGACAAGTGAGAGAGGAGAGAAAATATCTGACCTGTAATAAGAAAAGATATAAGCTATCATAAGAAAACAGCGAAGAAATATGTAATAAGAACAAAAAGAAAAATACATGAAGAAGATAGTCATATGATTTGTAGTACATTCACTTCATACAATGATAGCATATGTTGATTGCTTATTGCTATATAATATAATTTCCTTTACCATACGATTTTTACACAAATTTATTCTTGTAAATCTCTTCTTTTCAAAAGATAATTCTACTTTTCTTATAATATTACAGCTATAATAATTTGAAAATGTATTTCTTATAAAATAAATTAAATTCATTCAACTACCATTTTATTTAATTTGACTTTCTTCAATGGTACAAGAAAAAAAACAATAATAAAGTTTATACACAAAAATCGTACAAGAAGATCAAATGATAAAATAAACAAAACAAAGAAGCGAATTGAAAACACGATACAAAAGAACACATCGTATAAATACATCTTCATCAATTCTAAAAACGCTTCTACACATCAGATAAACTTTCACGTTCGCAGAAAAAAATTCTTTGAACATATCTATATTTGAGACGATGTTGATTATTTGGAGCAAGATAATGAGACGTGTGAAAACAAGAGAAACAAGAATAAATACAGAAAAATAGCGTCAAGGAGACAACAAAAGAAAATGCATGAAAGCAATAAACAATGAACTAAAAAAATAGTCAAACAAAAATGTGCTATCAACTTAGTACCGGAAAAGAATTCTATAGATTACAATCATAGGACAACGGAAAAAACAGAAACATTTTACAGAACACCAAAAAGTGATCATACACAAACAAAATTGTATAGTTGACATATAACATACATATATGAGGCTAACGATAGAATGAAAAAAATTTCGTACGCACATAAACAACATGCAGAACGACAAAAAAAAAGAAAGTAAAATAGCATCATATCTATACTTCAAATAATCATACTACGGATAAACGTATTGAATGAGTCCCAACTGAAACGAGAAAAAACGATGTTGATGACATATTCAAGCAGTAGGAATCATCAACATATTCATGTTTCAAGTTTTACTGCAAGAAACTAGAATTCACCTAAACGATCTAAACATTCAAAAATGTGTAGAGGACATACATATAGCCACCAACTTTCGAATCATCCAGGATACTGTCAGGAAAAAGACCCGTTGCGTTTTTTAATAATGCTATGTGTGCCAAAGTCTTGACACATTGTTGAATTTCATACGGCCACTTCATTGCAAACACAATGCAAAAACATAATACTGAATTGATTACACCGACCACTAAGGCTGCCTATGCTCTTTCCAGAAAAAAAATCAGAACAAACACTGTCTTTATACTCAACAATTTCAAGTTTTAAAAAAAAACGATAATATAGCTATGGAAAATCACCTATTTACTTCGTTATATGAAAACAAACCATAGCTAAGAGATTTCAACACTTACGTCGCCAATGATTCTCTGTCCACTATCAGAAAAAGAGAAGAACTGATCTATATATATTCTCCTTTGTATTAACATATGATATTACGTAAAAATTTCGAGATAACATTTATTTCAATGCCTACTATTATTATAAGTACAATATAAAACTAGAGCACTAATCATTTACTTATTTTGTGTTTGTCTTTGAATTCGAGATGAATTATACTCGTAATTACAATTATCTACTTAATCTACATAGTGTTACAATTTTATTATGTTATTAATGCATAGTGATAATGGTTATACATGGTTTAGATTATTTTAAGTTTTATTGATCACATATGATTCATATTGATTATAATTTTATAGATTAATATTATTATTATTATGATTATGTTATACTTCTCATGATGTGAATATTTTTATGATGCTTTACATATATATGTTTTACGAAGTTAATATTTCTAATATGAATATTATATGTTATTGTATATATGTATGTTTTGCAGTTAACGTTTTATTAATGTTACTATATTCATAATATTACATATATGTGTCATGATGTTCTCCAACGAGATTTTTAGTTTCATTATAGACATATCATTTTGTTCTTTGTGCTTTTTTTCATTTTTGTTTTTGTTATACTGTTTTTCTATCAACAGTCTAAAAGTTGAAAATGGTTGTCAGAAAGACCGAAAATTTTCTATATAAATATATTGGTTATTCATAATAAACTATAAAATAAATTTACATGTATTCTCATTTTTCATTAATATATGATATTACATAAAATCTCAAGATAAATATTTATTTAAAAAAACAGTCATGCTTGCTCGGGATGAAAATTCGTTATTGTTCACTTGTGACGATTCGCTATTTTGTATCTAGATCAATCACAGTTCGACATTAGTATTGACATTAAGAATTGATCGGATGCTACTAAATGCTTTCCCGGTACACTTTTTTTGCTTTAATCATTCTTGACCTGAACAACAAAAAACACAAAAAAAGTACATTGTACTTTTCTCTTCGAAAACATTCCGTCTCCTCCTATGAAATGACATGTCGATGATGTTTTCTTTTCCAGATGGATGAGTCGAAGAGAAAAGAAAAGAAAAAGAAAATATTTTTAAACATCATAAGAAGAGACAGAACAGAACAATATTGAAGACGTATCATGATCAACGTCTATGATAGATGCACTATTTTGACTCTCTCTCTCTCTCAATGCAATAATTTGGAGAAAGATAGAGAAAGAAAAAAATAGGCATGTTTATTCGAGATGAAAATTTGCTATTGTGCACCTGTGATGATTCGCTATTTTGTACGTAGGTCAATCTCGCTTTGAAATTGTTATTAAGGTATGAAGTAGATCGTAGGCGCTGTTTTGAATTTCTCTCTTTCTCTCTCTTTCTCTCTAAGTAATCCAAAGGTTAGAGAAGAAAGATTCTATATAAAGAGAAACAGATAGGTGTATATTTATCTGTTTACTAGTTATAGCAAAACTAAACTAAACCATCAGTTCTGTATACTATTTATGAAAGCGATGGTAGATAAGATGATGATATCATTTGCTATGTATTGGGTTTTATTTACTTTATTACTGTTACAAATTCAACCATTAGATGCAGCACCTGGTGATGACAATCCACCGCCAACAGAAACAACTTCAAGTGCCATCATTGAACAAATAACAGAAGAAAACTACAACTCATATATAGAGTCTAGTCGGTTATTGCTTACCAGGGTAGGCGAGAGCACATACATACCAAATCCGAATGTGGATCCAGTATATGATCCATGTTGGCGAGAATTTGAAGATTGGTTTGCTGTACATTATCCGGGTTTTCAAGCCCAGGCAAATTCAGATTGTCGACCACTTCGAGGAGGATTTGGCAGTCATTGTATTTGTGTACTGTTTCGCATCGACCCTCAGGATCCACCTTGTAAAAAATGGTTACAATATGAATATGAAGCTTCTATCAGCATTCCAGAACATTTTTACCTTCAAGCTGCAAGTGGAGGGAAATGATGATGCTGTGCACGACACTTGGCTATTATCTTCCTCTTAAATGAACAGTAAAAGTTTTATTCATAGTTACTATAATTTCGCTTCGTTATTGTTCGTCTCTTTTTCTTTAGTGTTATGAAGTTTCTAATGAATAAGTTTTAGTTATAAAATAAAAGCCGAAATAGATAACAACATTGATAATTAATATATTTATTAGAAAGAAAATATCATGAATAAAAATTGTTGACTCCAGATGACATGCTGACTAAAAAAACTACAAAGCACTTTTTTTATAATAATTCTTTTCGACACTGTTGAACAGCCTTATCATAACAAGAAGATCATACAGGTGTTAGTATTTCAGCCAGTACGACAGCGATTCATGCATGTATAATTAATTATTATGTGGCATTAACATATATTGCCTTACTCTACCAAACACAGATAATTTTTGTTATTCTATTCTGAAAATTTGCAATATGAACGGATAACTGTCAACTAACACCAATCTGTTGCTTTTTACGTATCATTTATGTTTCTTGGCATTCTAGAAAGTCGAATCCATCATTTTATGATTGTGATTCCATCGAAATTTCATTCAGCACCTTTCAGTTCAAAATACACTATTACGGTTGAGTCATACAGAAACATGACTCACCTCCACGTAGAGCGAATCGCAATTGTTATTGGTGCTTCATCAAGCTATTTTGAATTCATAGATTGACAGTTTGGTAAGAAAAAGTTGACGTATAGCTGCACTGTTATTATCGTCAATAGGCCTTATGTAGTTTCTTTCCATATAGATGTCAAGAGAAAGAGCAAGCAATGCATTTGTATAGTCACTACTGTATATTTTTTCTTGATCAAATTCAATATCCTTTTCGGTCGCTGTGCGTTCTCTTGTTGCTTGCATATGCGTATCGATTAGTAACTCTCCTTCTCAATAGATAGGGAACGAAACAGATATGAAAACGACTAGAGTCGTATGTGGAATTCTGCGGGAACACGGGAACAGGAACGAATATAAAAATTAGCGTTTCCAAAAATCCCTTTGTCCTATTTCTATATGCATTAAAGTGTGTGCATGTGATAGTCTTTTATTTCCAATGACTATTTTGGTATATAATTAACAAAGAGATAACAAATATATATCAACAAAAATTAGACAAGTTCATTCATTGTTCATTAAATCATACATTATGACAACCGTCATTTTCTTTATTATCAGCATCATCGAAAGAACGATCATCAAGATTATCTTACACCACAGCAATACTATCATCTTCTTCTTTCAAATGTTTTGCTTTTTTCATTGGTGTTGTCGAAGTGCAACTATTTTTTCTTTTTCTTAATTGTTCAATTAGTAGTGAAAATAATTCTCTTAATATTCATAAATTTCGATGTATAAATAATAATTGATTTACTATACTTGTTTGCAAATGTGTACAACGACTTGTTATTGTATTTTCACTGTCCGAAAATATGCGTTTCACAGATGTATTAGTTGCTGGAATACGTAATACGCGTTGAGCTATTGTAGTTATTATAGAGCAAACTAATTTATTATTATTATTTCAATACAATAAAACATGCATTTCCTTGTCTATTTTTTTCTGATCTTCGATGTATCTGTCGAATTTGGTCTTCATTTCTTTATCATCGAGTAACTCATCTAATGATATAGATAGATCAACTATATCGTTTAATGAAGTTGATAATTTTGTTTTGTTTTTTTGTGGAATTGCTTTTCTTTTAGTATTATTTGATGATAATTGTTGTTGTTCAAGTTATTGATACTTGTCTAATTCTAATTTTAATAATGCTTTTGCATGATATTTTTTTTTTGTGGTTTATGCTCAAAACTTTTAAGATTTGAATGTGACATCGTTGCTATACAATGACCATCATCAACAATGCAAATAATTCTACAATTGTGTTTCAATATATTTTTTTAATGGTGATGTTAATGGATTATTATCATTGGTGAAACTTGATAAATTAACCAAAAACTGTTTGTAAGGAACAACAAGATCCATTCGCAATTTACTATTTCAATAACATCATAAAAGTTTTTCAAGTATAAACATAATAATTTCATACCATCACGATCTATTTTTAAATAGCTTTTTTTGTTCATCGTTTAGTATTGTTGATAATTCATGATAAACTTTTAAAAAAGAACCAAACATCAAATATATATCATTAAAACGTATGTCACAGTAATTTTGATTATATGTTGATAAAAGAGATTGCTTTGTAACATTTATGTACTCTAGTAATAATAGCTCGAACTATTGTAAACAATCATTGAACCACATTACATTGTATATCATCGTAAGTGAATGCATGTTCAAGTACTTTATTTATATAGTGTGCGCTACATCCAATACGTTTAACATCATATTTGAAAGCGCTTTTCATTTTATTTTTCATTATCCGAGACGATAAAAATGTTACCATTTAAATAAAGACCAAAATCTTCTAAAACCTTATCGACAAATGAACGTATATTAATTACATGTTGTGTTTCATAATCATAAGCTTGGCATGCTAATGTAAATACATGCAGATACAATTATAAATCAATATAGTGAATACCTTTAAATTAAAAGAAAATAGACACAAATTATTCAATTTCCTTCGAAAGAGTACAATAAGCTTACTTGTTGATTTTTTTTCACCAAAAATCAAATGTTACACAATAATGTTTTATTAGTTCACATAAAGAAATAGGTTACTTCTTCAAGTTTTAGTAAATACTCATGTAATGAAAACAGGGAAAAACCCGGCGATTTACTGCCAAAAGTGATCCGTTTTTTGTGACATGGACACTTTCCACATTAAGACTAATCTATTGAAAAAAAAAAAAGATAATATTTCGTACTATGTTTGCAGATGCAGTTATAATTGAAATGAAAGTTCAATACCTACACTATACTTGGATGAGGTAATAATTTACTAGCAGTAACAGATGTACCAAGAGTAGCACCAACACTTATTAATTATTTAGTTAAATTAATAAATCCTGCCACAGCTACACTTTCAAACGAGGGTCCATCAGTTGCACAATATTCTCACATGCTTCTGTTATACGATTTTGAATTAAAGGACATTCTTTTGATGATGAAGGCTGTTGACAATATGAAGATTCACTCTCACTTATTCATTTCAATACCATTCTACATTTTAAGCATATAATGTAATCTTGAACAATTATTTCGTAAATGAATCTGAGGATAATTTGCCCAAAATTCGCTTCTTACATTTACAGACTTTGCGAATGAAGTCGACGAACTGTTCAATATTACTAAATCCTGAATTTCAGGTTTTGATAATGTTGATTGCGTAGAATTTGTTGAAGACATTCATAAAGTTGAATATTGTTAAGATTCACCAAATTAATATAGATAAAATTCACTAAAAATTGATATAGGCAAGATTCACCGAATTAATATGGATAATATTTAGTAGAATGAATATAGAGAAAATTCAGCAAATTAATATAAAGAAAATACATCAAAATGAAAAATGAAACTTTATTAAATAGCAAACCTTAGTTGTATCATTTGCCAGATGAACCTCCAATCCAAAACTTATTTTTAATTTATGTCATGTTATATTGCGAAAAAAGTGATGTCGCGAGAAGCTAGTATCAAATAATGATAGGTTTTTGAAACGTGAAAAACGAAATCGTAATAGGAATTCTGAAAGGCTTACGAAAATGGGAACGGAAAATGGGAACCGAGAAAAGTTGCCCCCGCAGGACACTAGGCATGTGTACATATTATGATCAAATGTCCTTCAACATGAAAGCACGCTCTTTTTGCTATTACTATTATTATGAAAAAGAAATATCAATCCTAAGTTTTCATTGCAGCAGATGCCTTGCTTGAACTGTTTGTGTTACATTCTACTTAAAATATTTATACAATTGCCATTTTACTAGATCTAACTTCAAAGCGCAGCGATTCTAATGATGAATACGTCAGTTATGTAAAGAGAAATGATAGAACATGAGAAGTGCTGGTGTACAAAAGTTGGAACTCGATTGCATATGTAGAAGTTTCGATAAATCGTTTTATACTGTTAATAGAAGGGCTAACAAATAGATGAATTTTAGTGTAGAAGTAATGGCAACACACGAACTAAAATTTCACCACAACCTTGAAAACGTGCTGTACATGAATAACATTGATGAGATAAATATTGTTCTAAAAATATGAATTAGTTTTTTTTTTCGCTGTCGGAAATATTTTATCTTGCATCTCGAATATGTCTATTTCTCGAGAGAGAATATTCCTTATTGTTCAATCACTTAAGACTCTTACCATTCGATTGGTCATAATGAGTAGGACCGATCGAACCACAATAGTCTCAAAGGAAAAACTATTTAAAATTTGGGAATAAAAACTCTTCACATATATAATATCAAGACAAATCGAATATCTTATATCAAATTTACCTTTTGATATCAATGAAGGATTACTTCCTGCTAATACAAATAATTCTTGTGGTGATAAAATAAATTGCTTATTTATCATTGATATTTCTGGTCGTTCATAAGTACCATTATTACATAAATGAGAATTACAAAAGTATACTTTTATACCTGGACTTATTTCATGCCATCCAATTGATTTTGGTGTCATATATCCGTATGTCCACGAACATCCACGTATGATTGAATGATCTGTATTTCGAAATAATATACATTGACCATTACATGGTTCAGTATAATATTGAAGAACATTTATATAAATAAATGAATCAGGTTGATTACTACCAGCACATTCAGCAAGTTTATTTTGTGAACATAAATAACATCGCCCAGCAATACCATTAACAATTGTTTGTTTTGATAAAAAAAGCATGAAAATAAAAACTAATAAATGTTGTTCAATTATAATCATTTTTATTGAATGATATGTGTTCAGATTTATAAAATAAGAAAACTGTATTCAATAAAATATTTTTAACATAAACTCACGTTTTTAACCTTCATTTATAAATTGTATTATTCATTTTGATTTCTTTCTTTCTATTTCAATGACGTATCATATGAATAAAAGCTTCTATATATTCTTTCATATTGTTGAGTTCAAGCTTATAATCCATTTACTAATTGTTCAAAACATGTTTAGATACCGAGGTCATTGTCTACATGAAATAAGAAAGAATGGTGAACGATAATCCTTTTTTTTAAATTTATATTACAAGTAACCGAGACACATCATTATTTAATTTACAATCTCACGTATTTGTATTCTCAACAAACAATTGATTAATGAGAATAGAAAATATATTAACCAATAGAAGTCGCTCAAGGAGAATGATATTATATCAACCATTTTTTAAGAAAATAAACCTCTAAATAGATAAATTGTACAATTAGTTGTCTTTCAAAAAAACAACAAACTATTTAAATTATCTCTTTTCCAAATGACGGGTGGAAATATTTGGTCGAGATTTATTACTGCTCGACAACTTACATCAAATTATTATATAATATCAACATATCTTACTGATATATTATATTGTTATTCAAGAAATTCATCAATATTTAATAATCTTTCTCAAACATTATTTTCTTCATCAATTGATCAAATAAAACTTTTGAATGATTATTCAAATATTTTACAAAATATATAAAAGTGAGTTATGAAACACGCACACAAATATAATATTTACTCATTTAAAGTCAATAAAACAAGATTTTAGTATTAGGATTAAAAAAATATTTCTTCTAATTCTTCATTTATATTTTTTCTTTTTATTATTATAGGTAAGAATCAAAAGAGGGTATGGATGTGGGTGTGGATAGGGTGAGGCGGGTATGGAGTGTGGGTGTAGTAAAGAGAAAATTAACACCCACACTCACACCCACATCCCGCACCCATAGCCACATCCACACCCTTAATGCTAAAGATCAATTAATTAATACACAAGAAATTATTTATGATCTGATTTATATTATTGAATTTGGTCGAACATTACATTCAATTTTAAATGTTTATCAACGACAAGGTTAAATATGAATTATTATTATTATTATTAACTTTGATATTTTTTATTTAGATATTGAATTTGTCATAGCTGATGGGATTAATATATCAAATCGACAATCAACTATTGATAGTCAAGGAAAATTTCTTACACTTTGGATGAGTCAAAAACTAAATCCTCATACTGATAAAACACATACGTCTTTATCACAATCAATATCATCATCACTAGCAACAACACTTAGTGAAGGAACATCAAATGATGATACATTAACTGATATTTATTTAACATTACTTCATTCAACAAATACAAATCATTCGGATACTCATTTATCAAACAAAACAACATCATGAAGAAACTTCACATCCTTATACAACAGCTTAGACATTTTCCACTTTTTTTTGTGATTTTAGTGAAAAATTATTTTGTATATAGTTTACATGAAAAACAAAACAAAACATGGTTATTATTTATTTTCAAACAAGACAAAAAAAAAGGAACGATATATCCCTGTCAAGTGAATAATGGGAAAATGGTCATTAAAATGATCATTTTTCCATTACTGAATCATTTTGACCATTATTATGCACGTTTTCTAGTGCATAATGAAAAAATGGTCATTAAAATGCATGTTTGATCTATAAAACAAACATTTAGTGTAAAAAAGACCACATTTTTTTCTCTATAAAAAGTGTGAAAAAAAATGCGAGTTTTTTGGTACACTCTTTAGATAGTTTTCAGTGAATTTTAACCCAACAACTCTGTTTCAAAGTTTCTTCATATATACAGTTTTGCAGAACTCGACGAGCTCTATCAAACCATGCAAAAATATCCAAGAAAAACATTTTAATCCATTTTTCAATTACTGGCACTTTACTTTTTCACTACAAAAAAGGTATAAAATTTCTGAAAGGTTCTTAAGTTCGATGTTAAAAAGTTTTCATAATCCTTACTATTTAATATCAATAAACCCCATTTTTGACGGGCTTTTATTTGATATAAAACTCATTATGTCTTCTATTTGTAATTACAGCGATACTCCCTGGCAAAATATTATTTCCCATCTAGTATTTTCTATTACGATCTCTTGTACAAAAAGGATTAAGAACTCCCGTCGAATATTAAGGCAAAAAGTCTTTTCCGAACACCCGGATGCATGTCCGAAGTTCGGAATGACTTGATGTGGAATGTCCGTCACCCTTCACGAGCTCCTATTTGAATGAATTGTACAGTTTCGAGCCAATCATTTTAATTCTGTTTCGAGAAGCTATCTGTAATGATAAAGAAAAGGAGAGGGATAATATGACAGACTGAAGAAGTAGCTTATCGCCACTCTCAGTAACGATGTTTATTAGCTACTTTACATCTCCAGAATGTGTCTATTGCACATTCAACACAGGTTTATATATGATACAGAAACAAAGGAAGAGAGACGACACAGAGAGAGCAATAGTGAGAGAAACAGGAAAGAGGAAGAGCAGCGAGCCGTGACGCATATATCGACACACTATCGTCTTCAGCGTGGTATTCTTCCGAAACAAATAATGAATGTTTATTTCTTCTTCAATTATTTCATTGTCAAAAAATGTAAATTTTACTAAGAGAAAAAAGTTTTTGCTGCGCGATGTTTCTTAAAAAAGTCATAGAAAAGAAGAGCAGCGAAAAATAACTTTACAACAGTGCTGGAAAATTTTTTATTGACTTTTGTATCTAGAACTTCGGTACGTCCGTGGGGGGGGGGGACTGAGCCACCTCTAGCTTTATTTTCTGGCTATGCCACTAGATTACATACATACATACTGATTCTATTTATTTATCCAGGTGCAATGATTTATTCGTATTAATATCTATCGGAAGAATATCGTCTTTATACAGTAGAATGTATATACGCTGTTCGATCAAAGAAAGACTATTAAAATAAATCGCATGTCTACTTTTCTTCAGTTATCAATTTCTTCATTTGACGATTGCATTTAAAACAATGACTATAGAATAAGATATACGCCAGTTAAAGATAAATAATCATGATTTCTATTTGAATAATTTTCTTTTTTATACAAATGAGAAACAAATCATTTTTATTTTGCAACTAATTTATACTGAAAAATAGCAACCTTTAAATCATAGAATGACATTTATACCAATAAAAAAATTATTAGATATTATAGATATCTAAGTTATTTCTTTCTTACAAAATCACTTCCATTATCATCAACACCCTCTATATTCGATATTTTAGAATTGGTTCATTCCTATTGGTTGCCTTTAGTTTTTGTCTCGAAAGAAAGAATCGATCAAAAATATAAGAATTAGTAACATCCAATTCATTTATTTTTTTCAATATGTTAGAAAGATGTTTTTTCTCCTTTTCATGCTTAAAACAATTAAAAATTTTTTTATAACATTTCACATTACTACTCTGAAATTTAACACATAAAATTTTCATGTATAACTATTTCTATGATTTTCAAATGACTTGAATTCTTATCTATGTCCCAGATAGACATTGGCCTATCATTTTTTTTATTATTCTTTCAAATCTGCAGATTTCCTTGGAAATTCTCTTCTGATCCATATATTTTGCAGGAACAACTTTAGTTTCAATTTTTCGGTTTCGTTTTTCACAGTAACTAAGTGTTTATGTGTTTCAATTATCTGGTATATATTACTGTTTTTCCCACATCATATGTAAGAGAACAAGAGATATAATGAAAGGTCGAAAACGATTAATTGTATTCTAATATGGTTGAGTCGCATATTGTTCATCAGAGAAGGTGCAACATTTGAAATATAAACAATTTCAGTACTATGGAAACATTACTTTTCATCTGAACTAGCCGTGGTTTACTTTTGAACTAATTAAAACTCTGCTAACTTAATGCTTATAGCATAAACCATTTTTTTTGTCATCGCTTCGCATCATTATTATATTTTTTATTGCCATAATAATTGTTCAGTTTATGGGTGAGAGTGAGCATGCATTAAAGAAGTCGATAAATGTATCTTTTCCAGTTTATGTCACAAAAAACATTTTAATCGAGCCCTGCTGACGTTTTGTATAATTACTTTTTTAGGCAGACCCTCATAACCGATTTTTGGTTAATAGAGTTCAACTTTGCCCTTTTTTTCACATAAAAAATAAGAAATTAAAAAGGATTTTTATCGTGTCTTGCAACTGAACATGCTCCTTTAGACGAAAAAGTTGTTCTAATGAAATGCTATAAAGATTCTAGATTGTCAGATGAACAGAAATAGCTGATTTGGCAATCTAGAATCTTTATGGCATTTCATAAGAACTTTTGTTTTTCATCTACAAGAACGTGTTTAGTTGTAGGACGCGACAGAATCTTTTTTTTAATTTCTTATTTTTTTATGTGAAAAAAGGGCAAAGTTAAACTCTATTAGCCAAAAATCGGTCTTGAGGGTGTGCCTAAAAAAGTAATTATACAAAACGTCAGCAGGACTGGATTAAAATGATTTTTTGTGACATAAACTGAACAACTATTATGGCACTAAAAAAATAATAATAATGATGTTAAACGGTGACAAAAAAATGGTTTATATTATAAGGATTATAATGGATCACAGAACATGCATTTTTTCATTTTTACTCCTGCCTGGTATTGAGATTAAAATGAATAGAATTAGAGAAAAAAAAACATGAAAACAAACTTTTCTGGCAAGGTTTGGATGTTTTCAGATCATGGCTAATGCCGACGATTTTTGTCAATTTGCACGATTAGGTCAAACGGTTAAAATTCAAAAATGTTTACAATCACATAGTAAGTAATTTAGAATGTTTTGTTATGTAGCAATAAAGATACTTATAAGAAGTCAAACTAGAAACCTTCAATTGACCTATGTGTGCGAAAATGTTGATACAAAATATTCACTTACAAACGAACTATCCGACTTGATATCGATCGTTTGAGCTCATATTCAGTTCACAAGAAGATCTCATTAAGATTAGAAAAATCTATCTATGGAGCAGAGCTATGTCCATTTTAGTGAATTTTTGATTCAGCTTGAGGTATTTACCAAAAAATTAAATTACGGAATTATCTAAAGTTGGATCGAAACGATCATAACGCAGCTTCAGAGACCTATAGGCATGAACCGAAACCTCATCCAATATGAGCTCAAACAGCGAATATCAGTTCGGGTAATTTCCTCGTCCGTTTTCGGCTACTTAAAGACAATTGGTTAGAGTCAGAAGCAGTTAGTTAGAATCCAAGGAGAAAAAAACATGACTCCAGTACTTTGAAGTATTGGAGTCGCGCTTTGCACATACCCACACTCCATACAAAAAGTAGTGGCAGAAGTAGTTTAGTTCCTTTGTAAAGGTTTGTTTAAGCTTTTTACAAAGAAATTAAAATACCTTCGTCATTCTACTTGACATTAATAAAATGTAAATAAATATTTTGATTAGGTGTTGATGTCAATGCACTTAATTTATATGGTGAATCAGCACTATCAACAGCTACATATTATAATCAAGTTCTTTGTGTTGAATATCTCTTGGCAAATAAAGCCGATCCAAAATTGTATAATTGAATTTTTCTTTCAATATAACATCTATTTGTTTTTTTTTTGAAGACGTCTTTCGGCTGGACATACAGCAATTCATATTGCTTGTCGATTAGGTAATGTACCAATTTTACATATGTTATTATCAATAAAAAAAGAAGAAAATATTAATATTGAAGAAGAACAACAACAAGAAGATAAACATATTTATGAATGTTTAAAAATGAAAGATAATTCAAATTTAACACCTATTCATTGGGCAGCAACACAAGAATCAGTATCAAAACGACAAAAAATGTTTTCTTATCTTGATAAACGAATGCCTGGTGTACTTGATAGTCGATATAATCTTGATTGGTTTAATTCATGGGCAAAAACACATCCATGGGTTATTGAACAAAAACCTATTATGTAAAAAAAAAGATTAACATTTTATATATTCATATCAAATAAAGATTTTCTTTTTTTTTTTTTTGAAAAAATATTTTAGTCCTTCAATACAATCTTTACCTAAATTAACAAATTCTGATCATACTTATCGACAAGATGAATCATCTGAAATTACTTCACTTGATATGACTCCAAAAATATTAATAAATAATTATGAACGTACTCCACGAGCACCATTAATAGCGACAACTAATAATCAAAAATCATCAAAATTACGTGTTCCATGTGTTCAAGTTAGATTTTATTTTAATATAAATAATTTAATTCTTTTTTTTGTGATACACGATCTACAAGGAGTATAGGAATAAATGTTTGGACTCTGCCTAGTGACAAAGCTAGAAAAATTTTCTAGGAAAGACTCAACTCTCGTTTTAACCTAAAATAATATAGAATCGTCTCTTTTTTGGAGAAAACTCCGCCACTACTCCTCACAGTATGCATCGTTCCATAGAATAGGTGAATTTTTTAACTTACGTTAATATAATCTAGAAAAAGCATTGTGAGGGACTGTTACTCTGTTTATACGTGAAAATCTTTTTTTTATAAGAAGACTAATACATTATATACCATTCAATGCAGTTCCAAATATGAAGTTAGCCTTCAATAAGCGTTTCTATGGCGTGGTGATTTGCGCTAACGCTCGATATAGGTATTATAAACGGAGGAACTTTGCACAAGCTCGTTATACTTTCCGTACAAGTATTCAATGTTAAACAAGAATGACATTTTTCGAATCTCAAGTAGATAAAAGCGAAAGTTATTTTCTACGAATCAATAGAGTGCATATAATTTTCTCAGGAATGTTTTCTTTTTATTGTTTTTTTTTCCACAGTAAAAAAAAGGCTTCTAATCCCTACTAGTGGCGTTTTTCGACTTATGTTAACAAGAAGAACAAAAACTTTTAGGTCATTCAATAACCTGTATGTCAGAATATATATTGCTCTATTTAAGTCATTTAAAAAAAGTACACTTTCAATTTTTCTAGTTAATACCTGCTTGGATGCTCACAGTACAATCAAAGATCGTATATGGTTTTTTTTTTTCATTTTTGCCATTGTATAGTCTGAAGTAGTATAGTGTATTTCGGAATCTAAGAATTGTCTTTAAACGTTAAAAAATCAAATATACGTAACAGAAATAGCAAAAACTGTATATTGTATCGCATTGAAACTTTTTTTTTCATTAAAAAATATTGCTCCGCTGATTTTTGGTAGCTCTTACAAACATACATTTTTTAGGGTATCTTCGATGCTTTCACTTTTTTTTATTCGAAGGACAACAAAAAATAAAAAGACATACATTCCAAACAGTGTCTAGTGCTTGTAAAAAAAGCAATTTTCTACTCGATCAGAGAAATGGGAGGCGAAAACCGAGATTCTTTTTCGCCATTATGATCCCAATATCTCATAGAAGACAACATTCGAGAATTTTGAGTCTATGACAAATGTTGCTCTATTCATCAAGATCTACGTGCTCTGAACGTTTAAATTTTTTCTAATGAACTGTTCTGCAGAAAGGGGGAGTATCCTTTCCACACTAGATACAATAAAACAATCTCTCTATGATTAATAAGAGCAGTTATATATTATGTTTTACATTTTAATTCCATCGGAATTACAGTAACACCTTTTTTTGTTTTTTATATAAAATAGATTGAACAACCTCCACGAACATTAAATTTACCAACAACACCAATAACTAGTTGTAAAGTAACAGTCACTTCCATATATCATATTCCAAAACGTGAAAATCAACAACAATTATCACCAGCAAAAATAATTGAACATCGTGAATTACCAGTAAAAATAAATAAATCAAATATCATTTGAAAAATTTAATATATATTTTTTTTTCGTCTCTAGATTTCATCACAAAAAATATCAACTGATTCAAATAGTGTTAATAGCAATCTATTAACTTCACATTCTGATCATTTTATTTATCGTGCTCGTCGAGTTAAAATTAAACCAACAATTGATTTTCCTCCACCACCATCTGATATTGAAGATATTGAAAATAAAAATAATCAACAACATGATTATGAAGATATGAATACACCATTCTCAAGTAAACGTCCATCACATAATCTTCTTTCTAATATAGTTCCATCAATAACAACTCCTTCAACTGATCAAAGTAGTCAACAATCAACAAAACATATAGCTTCATCATTTGGTTTTGATACAGCTATTGAATCACATCATATGACTGATACAACAACAATACATTCTAATACAGATACATATGCACAAAATGATGAACAAATTGAACTTGAATCTTTATCATCAAATGACGAAGATAATGAATATGAAAGTAATCAAATAGATTATTTATGCAAATCAACTTCAACTTTAGGCATAGCTTCACCTAATGCACATACTTATTATGCATAATTTATATTTCAACTTTTATTTTTATAATGAACATCATGTCAGATATTTTATTTTGTAACATACATTTATGAACTATGCTTGTTTTATTTTTTATTTAAATATAAAGATGATAGAATATAGTTCTTTTAGGCTTTGTATTTATTGTTTTACATCATTGGTGATCATCATAGTCTAACCGCCTCTCGGAAAAGAGTTCACTTCCGTCAGATTAATCAAAATTAAGATTAGTGTATAGGAGAAGAGGTTCAAGTCGTCTCAAAGAAAGATACAGGTTGGTTCTTGCTGGAAAATGGTAGGAACTTAGTAATTGGATTCACCGGTCGGATTTTTCTCGGTCCAAGCCGAGCCGATCACCAGATTCTCAAAGGAAAAGGTCCAGCAGCTTCCAGGATTTTTTCTATAAAACTCGGCTATATATTTTATCATCAAACGGAAAGAGATTACACCGAGGGCAAGAATGACACTCAGAGCGACGTACTAGCTAAGGATCAGAGCTAACTATTCTAGACTATGGCTTATTTTTAATACAATTAAGATGTATTATATGCTATTAATAGATAAATATCAGTAGTTTCGGTCCCTGCAAACCTTCAAATTTTTATCCAGATCCTGGGTATACTGAAGTTTGTAGTTATTATATCACATACAATATACCTATGCTTTCAAAGATAAGCGTTCAGTCTTCTGGAATTTTAAATCGCCTCTGTGAAAAAAAAGAAAATCTTTGATAAAACATTGATCTAGTGTTTATATTCTAAACATGAACTTCAATTAAATAATAACAAAAAATATAATGAATATTCATTGAGATTATTTTGAATAAATATATCATTAAAGTTTTATTCTATAAAATTCTTATTCAACAATAAGAATAGACCAATATAAATCTATTATAGTTTGTCATATGGAATACATGTGATAAGTAGAGAAAGAAAAAAAAAGCAAAATCTTATTCTAAGAGGTGAAAGGTTAAAAAAATAATTTCATATATATATATTTTTTTGTTTATTTTGTCTTTTGTTTTGTTTGTATATGATCAATATAATCTTGATCAAAATAAACAACTGTTATTGTAATATCATTACGTATTGAAAGTGGATTAGGAAATGTTAATATATCAGATAAAAGTTTACTATCAAATTGTCCTTTTGATGTATATGCAAGTGCTTGACGTATTAAATGTGTTGCTGAATTTTGATCAATTGGTTGATTTTTAATAGCTTGTTGTCTTGCAAGTAATAATTCATTAATTTCTTTTAATTTAAGTATTATTGTATTACCACTTTTATTTAATACAAATCGATCAAAACTTTGTATACCTTTTTGGTGATTAAATATAAGTTGTACAAATCTTTCTGATGATAATAAATCCCAAACACCATCAGTAACTAAAACAAGAAATTTATCTTTTTTTGTTAATTTATGTTTGGATATTTCAGGACGAGCAGTTAAATATGGTGGTGTTAAATAAAATTGTGGTATAGCATCACCTTTTTTATAATATGATTGTAAATATTCACGAAGATAATTAGCTGGCCATTTAAAACGTATATCACCAAATGCACGAAATGGCATTAATAAACCAAGTAAATGATCACTACGTAGTACTGAATTTGATTCATTTATTGGATGTTCACATAAAACTCGTTTAACTTCAGCTTAATTACGTATATTATGATCATGAGAAAGATGAACAACTGTTTGATTACCTTCATCATCAATAGTACCTGTTCAAAAAGAAAAAATTATTTTCTTTTAATTGATTAATACAATAAAACCTTTCATCACGAGTACTATCTTATTCTCAACAACGGACGCTTATGGCTAATCTGATGAACAAATAGAGATGTTCAGAACTAAGGATTTTTTTGTTCCGGTAACTTTTTATGAAATACGGTACTTTTCTGTTATCCCGACCATCCTCACCCTCACCCTGCGGTAGTCAGAATAACACGAAAGTACCGATCTATAAGATAATTTGTTTGAAACCATAGAATATATTACGATAATCTTACGTTCTAGTTGGAATACTTTTTTTTTCTGGTAGCCTAGGTCGCAATGACCGAAATTAAAATTGTGCCTACATATCCCTATGAGTAACATCGGTTGCATTACTCGCGTGCAGAACAAGAAAAAAAAATGATATTATTTGTTTATTTGTTTATATTCTGTTCGATAGTAACCCTTGTAAGTGCTTACAAGTACTTCACAATAAATCAAAAGGAAGTATGTTCAATATTTCTACTAAAAGAAATTATCAGCAACAATGTTTGATGTAACATCTCGTCGTTTTTATGTTAAAAACTAAATTGAAAACTTAACAATAATGAGCATCTACGTAAAACGAGAAATTATGATCAGTCTCAATAGTGTTGACATTAGAGTGAAATTTTACTCTATTAAATTAAATAATTTAATTTACCAAGAACAGCTCGTGCATCACCACAATTAGCAATATAAAGATCATCATCTTTAACTAAAGTAACACATGCACATGAACCAGCTGTACAAATTTGTAATAAATCTTCATCAACTTGTTGTGTAGCAGCAACAGGCATTGCTTCAGCACATATATCTCGATCCAATTTAATAAATGCACTTTCTAATGCAGTAACAATATCTGTATTATCATGATCAATTGTTGTATAAAGATCTTCAATATGTTTTAATAAATTCATTTGATGGATTTCTATAATTTTTGAATTTCTTGTATCTTGATATGGATTATAATATGAATGAAGAAGTAATGATGTTAGACTATTTAATGATGTTTTATCATGAGTATGAGTTTAGTGTGGGTGTCATTCGCTCTTCATGCAACCACCCACACCCACACCCTATTTTCTTTTGCATGACCAGTTGACATACACTAATGCACTTAGTCTTAATTTAAACATCAACGATCAATTGTTAGCCATCATATTTCGATGCTGTCATCTAACTAATATCCAAGATTGATTCTATCATATATTTAGCGACACCGATAGATATGTTGATAATGATGACCATACCGTACTACAAGATTTGGTTATTAGCTGATCATTTGTTCTGAAACGTAGATTCGATGTTGGTATGTTCAATCGTGTATGGACTTATTTTTCAATAAATTTGTTTGGGCGTTATAGTCGTCTCTTTTCATTTTCCTTAGTTGTTTGTCGATCTCAATACCAATTAGTCGATATGTTCAATATGCCGTGTAAGTTTACTATAGTTGATCAAGATAAAAATTGTCCTTGTATTTTCGTTAGAAATAATCAATATTGATTTCCTATTGTTTTTTTAAATGTTATATAATTTTACGGTCTACTCTTTTATATAAATAGTCGTGCTTGAATCTCGTCCTCTAACTATTCGTGAGAAACGATTATTTCTGATATTCGGAGAAAAGATCCCAACATCGTCGAAGTTAATAACGACGATTGGCGAATTCGTGACGCATCTTAACAATAATTTTTCATACGATCTGTGGTACAGTTATATGGGAAACAAGTTGAGGAGAAGTAAAAGTACAGATGTTCAGTTCAGTTTGAAAATATTGAAAAAACACGAGATATTAGGGAAGCAAGTCCATTTAGATAGAATATGAGGGAAGGTTCTCTTCATACGATTAGTTTGATATTTTATCTAGCAATAGATAACCTTTCTTATCAAATCTGGTCCGGGAGAGATTCAAACGTCGATAAAGTTAGCAGCCGATTCAAGTAAAATCGTCAGTGATTCGTCCAGGAAGTTGTTTCAGAGATGCCATTCCTGTTCCAAGTACAACTCGACGAGTTCTAATCAAGAATCCAAGACTATTTGTCACATCGTTGTTATTGGATTTGAATCCAGAATGAGATCAAGGCAGAGTTGTTCGTATATGAGACTTTCACTCATTTGAAATATGCTCCTGAATCTTGAAAAATTTGTTTGTTTTCCTCGATGATTATCAAGAGATTTGATTTGTTAGAAATCGAAATTTGGTCCATTGAATCGATCATATGTTGAAGAGCCACTATGAATTGAAAGAAGTATGATCTGTGTTCAACCGATTCATCGGAATATATGTTTAGAAAAACATGAATAAGAGAGAAATTTTCGATAATTTTCGTAATTATTTCTGTTTGATCAATGTTTAATTCACTTTTTATTTTTTCGATTATATTTCTATGGAAAAGAAAAATGGATTGATATTTGTGATTATATTTCGCCGAAGAGATGGTGATCTCATTGATAAAAGATGAAACTCGTAGAAAATGATCAATTTATTCTGATGAAGTAAAACGTAACATCAAAATTTATATCTGAGAAATCTTTGATCATAAATTTGGATTGGAAGCATTCAATGGATCAATAATCATTTTAGCAACAAATTGTTATGATCAAGATGCTTTCAATAATAAAAGATCACCAAATATATACTAAAGAGTTGGATTAATCTCTGCTATTGATCAAGTTTATCAATATATTGGTTCAATTATTGTTGCTTCATTAATCAAATATTGGTCAATACAAATTGTTCTTTCAATTTCGATATTTATATTTGGTTTGTCCGTTGCTAATCTGTTGATTATTAATACAGCGACTGGTGGACACATGAAACTAGTTGATTTCGATGCGAAGAATAAGAATGATTTTACTTATTATGAAAATAACAGTAGCAATTAGAAGATTCCAATTTGTTCTATTACTGGCATTAGTTAGGAAATGGTCGAATAAATTCAACAAATCATTCCTCGAGATATTCATTGGTGATGATAATCAAAAATTACGATGAATGGATGTTTTAGTTCATTTATTTGTGTCTTTTTCGGATGTTGATAGAATATTTGAGACTAGTCCCATTTTATTTTCTCATCTTGGTAATAATTATTCATTTATCTTTATACCGGTCTTATTCACTTCATCTGAGATCATTTGATTGTAAATTTCAAACTATTTGGAAAATATTGTTTCAGAAAATTTAATAGCTCGAGTTATTTCTTCTTGACAAAGAGAATAATCATAATTTTCTTGCTTGTATGTGTGAAAAGACCGACAGAGAAAATGTCGACAGAAAAAATGATCTAAAAGACTAATATATATACAGTTGCCTATGAAATATGTGTACGTCAGTGGTGTAATATCAATACACAAAGATATGAAAAATATATCAGAAAACTTTTTTATAGGAAAAAACCAGTGAGATCCAATGCAGAGTAATGCTTATACTTCTGAACTTTTCAATTTTACGATATTAGACTATTTCACTTTGAATATTTACAGATACGTCAATGAATGCACCGGTAATCAGTGGAAATGAGAAACTTAATATAAAAAAAGATACAGATAAGATCTTCTCAATGTTTGCTTAGAAATGATATCCATATAGACGATGTTGTAAATCAATTTCTAGACTATTTCTACCTAAATTATTCTAGTCAAAACAGATGACTAAATAAAAAAATACGATGATCAAAAAGGAGAGATAGACCGAAGAAAAAAAACATACAAAATATCATTCGTATGGCAGAATGGTTGTTTTTTTTTAAACGTTCTTATGATGACGCAGCTGAAAAATATCGTACACTTTTGAGATATGCAGAGAAAAAACAAGACTAGTCAACGTATTTTTCTTTCCTTCCTCGCAATAATAGTGTACAAAATGAGGCAAAATACAATGATTAGCATGACACAGCAAAATTATACAGAATACTATAAATAAACAAGAAGATACGTTTGTTTTTTTTTCTATATAATTCGGAACAAATATGGGAAAACTCGACGGAAAAATTGCACTTATAACTGGTGGATCAGATGGTATTGGTCTCTCTACTGCTCAACAGTTTGTTTTTGAAGGTGCTTATGTATTTATTACTGGCCGACGTAAAGAAGCACTCGATGCAGCAGTCAAACAAATTGGTGATAAACATGTTACTGCTATTCAAGCTGATTCAGCTAAATTAGATGATATTGATAATATGATTAACATAATCCAAAAAGAAAAAGGAAAACTAAATATTTTAGTGGCGAATGCTGGTATAGTTAGTAGGGAAGCACTAGGATCAATTACAGAAAAATCTTTCGATGATCAGTTTAATGTTAATGTTCGAAGTGTACTTTTTACTGTTCAAAAAGTTTTACCAATTTTTGTCGATGGTGGTTCAATTATTCTTGTTGGATCTAATCTGTCAGTCAAAGGTATTCCAGCATCAAGTGTTTATAGTGCAACAAAAGCTGCTATTCGTTCATTTGCACGTTGTTGGACTGTTGATTTAAAAGATCGTAAAATTCGCGTTAATTGCCTTAGTCCAGGTCCAATTGATACCTCTATGTTAAGAAGTATCGGTGATACAAAGGAAAGTTCAGAAAAAATACTTAAATCAATGGCAGAAAGTTCTCTTATGGGTCGACTTGGTCATGCGTCTGAAATTGCAAAAACAGCTGTATTTCTCGCATCAGATGATAGTTCCTATATCACTGGTATTGAACTTTTTGCTGATGGTGGTTTATCACAAATATAAAGCTATAAATCGGTAGTAAACATGAATTGCTCAAGAAAAATTGGCAAATTAATTTTATATAGTAGTACTGATTTCCTTTTGTTCGCAATATATACAATTCTCTGTTATAATGAAACGAGCTTTCATTAATTATAAAATTTTTGTTAATTTTTTACTTTTTAACACATTGACTGTCCGGTGCATCATATACGATGCACGGTACAGTACTGGCTAAAAGTATTCCCCCCCCCCTCGGATCTCAGTCACAATATGAGCTGTAGATCTGAAAATTAGTGTACATATAGTTCTCGATGAATGCTGATCAGCGACACCGCCCGTAATCCGATTGCCTGAAGTATAAGAAAGTTATAATGTATGCAGTATGTCTCCACTGTGGACTTCATAACTCAAGAACGAAAAGACTTTAGAGGTCGGAGTTGGTTTCATTTTGTAGCTCTGCTTTTTGGCTCTCTGTGGTAAAAGTTTTATCGAAACTCAATGAGTCGTTGTGGAACTATTGCCCGTTTCAAAATAAAAGGCAAGTTAGTATTTTTTGAATAGCTTTTAATAGAAACAAGATAGAGAGATGAGGTTTTCGGCATTAGAAAGAGAAGACTCAGGAGCACCACTACGTACTAAAATATGATTGATTAGTGATAGACCAATGAGGTGCATTCTCGATGGACATTTTGAGCATCCTTATCTGGAGCCATTTTGTCAACTTAACTTATTTGTTAATTTATCTATTAGTAGAAAAAATTGTTCTCTTTCGATCTACGCAAGACTGACCCTTCTAGCTTGTTTCGTTCAAGAGTTATAAAGGTTTTCCTGAGACCCCTGATTTCAGCGAATTGACCTTGAATCAATCAGAAAACCGTCTGGGATGGGGTAATTCATCATGCTGAGTCGAATGGTGACATTTACTTTTGGATTCGAAATCATCTTACACTGATTTTTAGGAATTTTCTACATTTCACAATATCTACTGCTGCATATTATTACATGAGTCCGCATTTTGAAATATTGAGATAGCGCCCCGCGATACTTTTGAATCCAAAAACAAACGTCACCAATCGACTCAGCATGATGAATTACCCCATCCCAGACGGTTTTCTGATTGATTCAAGGTCAATTGGCTAAAATCAGGGGTCTCAGAAAAACATTTATAACTCTTGAACGGAACAAGCTAGAAGGGTCAGCCTTGCATAGATCGAAAGAGAACAATTTGTTCTACTAATAGATGAATTAACAAATAGGTTAAGTTGACAAAATGGCTCTAGACAAGGGTGCTCAAAATGCCCATCGAGAATGTGCCTCACTGGTCCATCACTAATCAATCATATTTTGGTACGTATTGGTGCTCCTGAGTCTTCTCTTTCTAATACCGAAAACCTCATCTCTCTATCTTGCTCCTATCAAAAGTTATTCAAAAAATATCAACTTGCCTTTTATTTTGAAACGGGCAATAGTTCCACAACGACTCATTGAATTTCGATGAAACTTTTACTACAGATAGCCTAAGGGCAGAGCTACAAAATGAAACCAACTCCGACCTCTAAAGCCTTTTCGTTCCTGAGTTATGAAGTCCACAGTGGAGACAGACTGCATACATTATAACTTTCTTATACTTCAGGCAATCGGGTTGCAGGCGGTGTCGCTGATCAGCATTCATCGAGAACTATATGTACACTAGTTTTCAGATCTACAGCTCATATTGTGACTGAGATCCGAGGGTGAGAATACTTTTGGCCAGTACTGGAAGGTCGTGAGTATGTACAGGAAAAAATTCTCTATTGTTTGTGGTACAATACTTAGCTTTGAGCATTGACCTTGATAAGCACACACTCACACAAATCGTGTTTTTGCCCGTAGAAAAATTGCAATGCACAGTTTGACACTTCGATAGGTTTGTACCTCATAAAGTTTGTGTCTGTATGAAAAATCTCCACAAAATAAACTCGGGAGTTTTCTAGAGAATTAAATTTCATATCTATCGAGATTAGAACTAAAACTTGAACAATTGTTAAATTCCTCAACGATAGAAAATAAAAGTGTGACATTTACTATCAGATGCCCACTATTTTTCAAAAAATTGCTCAAGATACTAATACCTATTCTGAATTTTCTCCCAAAGGTAGTTCGCATACGCGAACAGATTCTACACTTTTAGCACTACTATCTAAAAAAAATCGCTCTTTAAAAGGCTTAAATACCACTTAAATCCTTGACAAATCGATTCCTGCTTACAGCCAAAATTATAAATTTTATAGTTGACGAGAGTTCATGAATGATAACACATGCGACAAACATCCAATTACCACCGTTAATCAAGAAAAAAGTTAACAATATTAAAGATTTCGTGAATGAAGATTCGTAGATTCATATTCGATATATGTGTCACAGTAGTGTTGATACTATGTGAAAATAGTATCTCTACAATGCAGAAAAATATCTTCAAGATGGCTTCCTCATTGATTGACATAGGAACAACAGTAGTGAAATGTGAATATCTTTGGCAAAAACTTGAAGAAGTTCAAAATTCGTGAGTAGAGGCTGTGTGACATGAATCGTGGATCTACCATGAAAAAATCGATCGAAAACATGAGTAGTGGAACCGTTATTTATTCATGAAATTAGATTTCGATAGGATTATTGCACAAAAACAAATAAAAATTATAATCGAGCTGGAGGATTTTGACCACTCATCAATTATACCCGTATGACCTTTCTTCTTTAGACTTTTGATTATTCAACTATCTGAAAAATAATCTTAATATCTATACAGGTGAAAAAAGTTTGACGAAAAATAATAAACAGGAAGATCAATTGAATACTTATTGATGAATAGAAAAAAAAATACTTGACAAGTCGATTGAAAGGGTAGAAGTTTGCATCTAACATAATGAAGATAATCTTGAACATTTCACATAGAAATATTAATTTAATACTTCTTCTATGAATAGATTTTTTCGACACTACAGAATTTTGGACTGAGCTCAAAATACTTGGATAGTGGTTTATTTAAAATAAATTGTTTTCTCTGAGTGATTTTTCAATATTTGTTGAATTTTAAACAAGCTTGTTTAATTATTGATAAGAAAGAAATCTCTCTAAGTTTTAAAAGTTCAAATATGATTCAGATGTATTAAAAGAAGTTTTTGACTAACTAGCTAGTTTATTAATATTCAATAAAAGTAAAAAAAAAATATTATGTATTTTATTTTTATATGTTCCATCTATTGCGTTTAATTCAAGATATAATATAAAGATAATATTAAATATAACTTCTAGGGAATGTTAAATTCCAATTTTTCTCAAAAACTAATTGATCTTTATTATTAATATTTAATTGATGTATTATGTTAAATGTTGATGGTGATTCTTGACTAAACATAATTGATTTTGTTTCAATATCAACTTTAATTAATGATTGATCTTGAAAATAATATTTTAAATATCTTTTTATTTCGATTCTTGCTGATTGAGGATCATTTTTTTTAATTTTATAAATAGATTCTGATGTTTCATCCCATATTAAACCATCAGGATATTCAATAGAACCATCATCGGTATATATCTTTTAGAAAAAAAAAAGAATGAACAAGAATTCTTTAATATACTAGACAAATAAAATTACTTTTAATGTTATTATTTCATTAAGTTCGTCTAATATTCTAAAACGAGTAACTGAACTATCTCGTAAATACTTTATTGGAATTCCTTGACTAATTTCAGGAAAAGCAAAATCATCTCTTGTTAAACTTTCATAATTAGAAAAAAAAAACAACAATTATTTTCAATAAATTTTAATAAAAATGTCTTACTATTTATCATTTAAACAAGGTAAGATAAGAATACATGGTGATAAATGATTAAAATGAATTCTAAAAATTGAAAAAAATTTTATTATTTTTATATTTAAATAAATGATAACAAACGTCAATGTTGATAATTGCGGTGAAGGCCATACAATTGGCCAATACGATGTTGATAAAGCTAAACGAAGACGACAACCAGCTGGTAAACATACACAAACACCAGATAATGTTATTTCAACACTTTATTTTTAGAAGCAAAAAATAAAAAATAAAAAAACTTTTCTTTCGTTTAAAACATTATTTTAAAATACAAACTTATAAATTTCATCAATATTTAATTGTTCAGGATGTTCATGTGATTTATGATGTGTTAAATTAAGAATTCCACGTGAAATAAGTATTGAAGATGAACTTTTTTCATCAATCATACAAAGACGAACACATATCAAACCATAATTAGTATTAGAACTTAAATTAAGTTTAACACTTGGAAATCCAAATAATTCTGAGAAAACAAAAAAAACTAATTTATTTGAAATATTTTATAAAATAAATACCATAATTATGATTTAATGGAAGAGAATCAAAACATAATGATCTTCCATCATCTTCTCGTTGGTCTATTGAATTATCAATATTTTCAACACCTCCCCATCCTAGCAAATTTCCACTTGATAAACCTGTTTCTAGAGGAGATAAAAATGAAATTTTATCAGGAATTTGATCCTTTGAAACAGATTCAATTGTTAAAGATCCAAAAGACAAATAATATATAATTTGTTTTTCATTAATTTGTTGATATTGGTTAATTGAAAGATGATTTCTTTGAAAATGTTCATTTGGATAAGATGGTAATGAATTAAGATGAATCCATTGTCCTTTTCTTTGTTTTACAAATGAATGAAGTTCATCTATATTTGGATTTAATTTAAATATGGATAGAAATTCTTTTTTTTCATAACCATTATCAATATGTTTTATATGATAATCAAGCCATTGAATTACTTCTTGTAAAAATCCAATTTGTGGTCCCGGATAAGCATCATCTCTAGAAATAATATTTATTTAATTAAAATTTTATTAAAGATAAATAAATAAAATAAACAAACGGCCATTGATGTCCCCATGGACCTAAAATAGCTCGTTTTTCATATTTTAATTGATTCATTAAACGAAAAATTGATGAATTATAAAGATCAGCAAATCCACCAATTAATAAAACAGGACATAAAATTTTCGAATAATCTTCACAAATACTTCCATGACGCCAATATTCATCTCTAAATAAAATAAAATTTTTATTAATAATATTTATTTTTCAAAAAAAAAAAAAAATTATTTTTCAACCGATTTTGATGTTTTATCCAATAAGCATCTAAAGGTATCAATTCATTTAATCTTTCTTTCCAAATATTAAATAAATTAGAATCTTTATCAATTCCTCCTTGATATAATGGATGAGGAGGAATAGATAACCATAATAACATTTGAGTTGACCATGATAATGCTAAAGATAAATAAAGTATTTTATTTGAATTGAAATTGTATTTCTTTCTTTTTTTTCTAAAAACCTTCTTGTGCTATTAAACACCCTCCATAATAATGAATATCATTATTATAACGATCATCTGTTGAATAAGCTGAAATTATTCCAAATAAATTCTAAATAAATATATTTTCATTTAATTTATTGCAAATAAAGAAAAAAAAAACATTGTTAAACTTTAGGTTGAAGATAACCAATTTGTAATCCATTAAAACCAGCCCAAGATTTTCCATATATAACGACCTTTTTTATTTTATATATTAAATATAAATAAATAAAAAATCTTTCGTTAATTACTTTTCCATTAGACCATTTTTGATTTTGAATCCATTCAAGAATTTTTAATCCATCTGATAATTCTTGTTCAGAATATTCATCATCAAATATTCCTTATTTTTGATTATATAAAAAAAATGAATAAATTAAATTAAATTAAAAAAAAAATACTAAATTATTAAACCTTGAGAATTTCCAGTTCCTCGAATATCAACTCTAATTGAAACATAACCAAATCCTGAAAAATATTTTAATCGAATTTCATCTCTTCGTGATCTAATTATATTTGTTCAAAATTAATTGAAAATAAATTTCAAAAAGAATAAACGAACGTCCAATCTGATTTTCTATATGGTATATATTCTAAAATCGTTGCAAATTTTTCTTCATCTACCGATTGAATATTATTATCTAACAAAAAAAAATATTATTTTAAATTAAATTTCAAAGAATCTTTCTAACTTTGAGGCATCCATATTGTTGCGGCTAATTTAATATCATGATCAATAGGTATTGATATTTGTGTTAATTTTTCAACTTTATAGGGAAATTCAGTACGAATTATTCGATGAAATTCTTTCTCACATGATGATTGCATTTTTTATTTATACACGTTTTAATCATTTTAATTTAAAATATTTTATCAACAAATCGACAATCAACAAAAGATGTCTCTCATTTTCTCTTTCATTTAGATATTTATTTGACAAAAAAAATATCATTTGATTCTGATTTATTTTAAAAGAATTTTATTTCCTATCAAATTAATTTAGAATTTTTCTAAAATGAAAGCGATTCGAAATTGTAAAACTAGTCAGATCGACCGACGAATAATCACTACATATCATTGTCAAACCAGTCATCTGTCGACAACAAAAAAAAAAAATTAATTTATCGTATATTGTCTTATATAAAAAACCTAGTTTGTTTGATTTTTTAACATAACATGCAATGCAAAGCCGTGGCAAAGATGTTTACTTACCGTAGTTTTAGTCATTTTACAAGCTGCAGAGCTACATGTTTGCTTTTTATGAGAAAGAGTACGAAAAACGCTACCAAAAAAAGGTGTTTATAAAACTAAATGTAACCCGTTTCGTCACATAGATCGAAGGTTTTTTTCAAACATCATCAGCCATAACTTGGAATAGTTTTTGATATTCCTCTACAAGGCCAACAGCATCTTGTCTATCCCTGTAGATAGATACAAATGTGACTCGAAAAATTAATTGAGAGATATTGCAAAATAAACCTTTTCAATATTATTGATAGCCGTCACTGTATTAATTTCATCGTAAAAAACTAAAATATCTCGAGGAAATAGAAAAGTGACCTTATTCAATCTCATCCTTTAGAGTGCTTGATACTCGAACATTTTACCCAGCTCTCAAAGATACAACATAACCAATTTAATCTTTAGCAAGTCGTAGCTAATGTTGTCTCATGATTTCGCTGTTGAAAACTTGTATAAGATAGAAGATAGATTAGATGTAATAATATCGAATCGAAAAATATCATTACACAATATTGGTGAGTGCAAAATGGACGGAACATTCAATGTCGAAAAGAAAAATGTAGATATCTCAATCAACTCTTTTCCAGATCTGATTAGAACAGTCAATTCAAAAAGCAAATTATGAAGTCTCACTCTAACTTTTGAGCATTCATTGCTTGTCTCGAGACCAAAGAAATTATCTTTCAGTAATAACTCTTGAGTATCAGGACTAGAGGTGAGAAAAAACTCACCGAAGACTTCGACTCTGCACGATTGTCGTGATATACTCAGAGATCACTGCATCAACGTCAAGATCTATTGAACCGATTATTTGTTGGCGTTTCTATGTTTTTTACATTCAAGAAGCAAATATCTGAGTTTTGTTATGACGTCTTCAAGTTTTCTACTCTCGTTTTTATTATTGGTCTCATCGTTCCTTATTTATTCAACTGCAAATTCATAATAAATACTTGGTTTCTTTCTCTGCAATATCCATCTGCTTAATCTAAGTAATACTAAATTATTTTAGGTTCATTTCTATTTCGACATTTTTCTTCACAATTTTTTAGTTTGCAATGTTTCTCTTTCGATGTTTCAAGATAATTATATTCAGATATTACTTTGTTCTCTAGATCGACTTGATGTATGTAAAGAGTGATCTATGCAGATACATTTTTCGTTCTAGAAAGTACTATCTTGAGTTTCTGATAATATTTTTCGAAATATCTACAGCATTTTCACAAAAATCCATTGATAATCGAAATTTCAGACGTCACGATGGTATTTCAAATGTTTCTAGAGTTTTTCGATCTTCAATACACATGCTTTTTGGAGAGCAAAATGAAACTACACCTAAAAAAAAACTTCGGATTATCATACTATTCGATGGCTACCAAATAATTTTTCTTTTCTTTTACTTTTCTTCTCTTGTTTGATATGTAACACCACTCGATGCGACATCAACAGATCTCATCGTTATATTGATTGATGACGTTAACCATATGAGTCACTTTCCCTTTCTTTCCATGTCATCTTAATTGATGTAACGAAACTAAGCGTAAGGAAAAAAAAAGTCCCACATTGTCATAGTAATGGTTGATGTGTACCAGATGACTCTCTTTCTTTCTTATTCTATTTTGTTGTAACTTATTTGTGGGTATTCTGAGTGAGAAAAATCCCTCATGATCATATTGTGTCAGATATAGTACACAATATGCTAAAAATGCCTGATTACGTCGTTCGAGTAAACAATCGAATGACGAACTCTGATTTATGGGCCTCTCCCAGCTAATAGTGTATTATTGACGTATAAAAGTAAGTCGGTTTAAGTGGTGGTATCTCACAAACAAAATACATTCGAGCTTTAGAATCCAACATGCTAGTCACTCTACCAAGTTCGATATTCATTGGCGGTATGAATTATGCTGAAAATGGTGAAATAGAAGATGAAAGATCATTAATTCATGCAAGAAAAATCGAACAATACGAAACCAATCTACCATTCGTATCTATACCTAAATTTTATTTGTCATCTCGAAATCAAAAAACAATACTTCTCAATCCTGACATGATGGCCAAACTGAACTCACGACCAGATCTGCAAGCCAAAGTTATAGAGTTGTACCAGCGAGATCTTGTTAATCCCTATGGTGCCAGAGTAGTGGGTGGTCTATTAAGTGGTGGTGTTGACACATCATTCATTCCGCTCATTCTATCTCGATTCTTCAATATTGAAGTCCAGAGTCTCACACTGAATTTTGGAGGTATCTACAGTGGTGGAATTGCTGATGATGCGCGAGACATTCGTCAAAATTTGTCGATGTTAGGTGTATCCAATCCAAAATTCAAAGATATGCGCGAAGAACTTGGTGAATACTTTATTCCATTACTCATGGGTGATGTAATCGTTCCAGGATCACCTGGTATCTTTCCGAACTCATCACTTAGCCGCATTCTTATGGTCAAGGCTTTGGTACAAGAGTTACCCGACGCACAAGTCTATTTGACCGGATCAGCAAAGAATCAGAACAACAATCTGAGATTCATGACAGCTGCTTATGAATGTCTTGGCAATAAACCATTATGGTCACCGATTTTCTTTTGGGAAGAAATATTCAATCGTCAAGATTGTCTTGATGTCATTCGACTTTGTACTGGTCAAGATTTATCAACTCGATCTGAAAAAGATGATCCATGTGCAAGTGGGGACGAAACATTTCTGAAAAAGGAAGAAGAAGATGGCACTCGAAGTCACCTAGACTATGATTTTCCTGTTCAACTGTCGACAACGCTTCCACCTCGAACAGTGGTGTTGTATTTCGAACAAGGTCGACCAGTAGCTATCGATGGACAACAATTGACTTTTGTGAAACTCGTCGGAGAGTTGAACAAAATTGGTTTGCAATATGGTCTACCTTGGAAAGCATCTGTTGAATCACGTCCTAGTGGAAAAGGTGAAATCGAATGGAATCTGACGCCTGGTGTTGATGCACTCCGAGAAGCGATGTGTCGGTTGCGAGCTGCATCTGTTCCACCTCGAATGCATCAAGAACTATTTCGCTTCAATGCTCAGCTGGCCGAAGATATAGTGCGTGGTGGATTACACAATACAACGACAGTTGCCTACATCAATGTCATTCGAGAATTGTGTGCGAATGTAACTGGATCAGTGCAACTGACATTCTATCCGGGTTTTGTTCGTGCCAGCCGGCCAAAACCTGATAGACCGGTGACTGTTGCCGAAGCTTCATGTGGTCATTTGCCGTGTCCAGAGAATGCATTGGATTCGGTCAATGCTCTTATTGCACATAATGTAGTTGGACAAGCATTTCGAACCGAAAAGCAAATGCGAGAACATTATAGCTGGCATGCTGGCCAATGTGCGAAATCTTTCTGAGAAAAAATAATACACCAACATTATTTGTTCATATTTCATTATTAATCTCGAATTGTATGTGTTATATTACAAATTCGTTTTTGAAAGTTTGAATAATTTACATTGTACTATGTACAGTTGTCAATCGATGTCAAGAAACCTCTTTAGGGTTATTTCATTTGTTTTTTAATACAAAATAAACAGAAAAATTTGCATATTATGTTCAATTTCAACAATATCGTATATACAGTTCTTCGTATCGATCGTTTTTCATTTACATAAGTCTTGCCTTTAATATAAACAGAGCAAAAGATTAGAAAATTTTCCATTTTGTATAATTCTGAGAGGCTTCGGAATGTGGGTGCGTGTGGATAGCGACCTTCTTCGAATCTCTACTGCCATTCATACCCACACTTGTGAATCTTGCACTTGATTATGCCAGCGATCAACCCAATCTATTTAAATACATGCTTCGATGTTGGGTGTGGGTGTGGATGTGGACAGAGATAGATAATAATTTTCTTCTCACACATGCAGACTCAGATGCACACCTACATTTTGATGATAGTCCTATTCGAAGCCTTCTATTGTGTGACACAAACACTCACATCTCATATCAACATCCACACCCTATCGCAGAGAGAACGAGTATCATCCTGTTACCATTACATACTTCAACTGTTTTTCTTTTTCTTTATACTTATTAGAAGTAATCTATCATATTTATTATATGAATATTAATCGATATATAAGTCAAAAAAGATTATTTTCATAAATAAGACTTATAATGATGTCAGAATTAAAAAACGAATCAAGAAATATATCTGTCAGACAAAAAAATGTGTAATCAGAAGATATACAAAATAATAAATAAAATTTAATAGAAAGTTTTAAACAAATTGTCGATTATATTTAATAAAAGTTTGGAGTTTGTTGATAATTACCAAAATCTCTTTTTATATATGCAAAAGGCAAAGAGTTTTTCGAATGTTTTATATTATAATCAATTACGTTGTCATATTTGTCTTTTGATAATGAAACTGCTGAAGTAAAAATGATACCCAATACGACTACCATATTATTCACTATCGTCATAATTCCTACACCAACAGTAATTAGACTCAAAGGTTCTACCATTGTTAATGCAGGAAAACTAAAAACAAAGAAGAATAAATGAAAATGACTATATTCATAAGGTATGGGTGTGGGTAAAGAGAATATCTATGTTCACACCCCACACCCTTTTTCATTGAGATTCAATCCGTCGAATTCATACAACATTTTTTCCTTAATCGAATCTCATTCAATAATATATATATATAGAGAGAGAGAGATTAAATAGTTTCATCCAATCAACTATATATAACATTGTTTACTATTAACAACAATAAAAAATTGATTTAGTTTCTTTGTTTTTAATTTTAAGTTATAATTAATAAAATAGATAAGAAAACAAAGCAAAAGACAAAAAAAAATGAATATCAACAATCAAACTATAGATCGAAGATCTTCTTTCATATAAATATATCATTTATTAACTAAGTTAACGATTATACTCAATAGAATATTATAATAAGGATCGAATATGGAACATACAATTTGAAAACAATCATCGAACAGTTTATTCTATTTGAAACTAATTTATATTATACTAATCTTACATGATCTTATATTGAATAACAAGATAATCAATCGAAATCAATTTCGATTGTCGACTTATTTTATTTATCGAATATGGTTAAATATATCACTTTTATTTTATTCTATTTATTCATTTTCAATTATTTTATTTTTATTTGAAGATTTTCTATAGAATATTTTATTTAATTGAAATCATTCAAATCATATTTATTTTTTCTGTATAAAATAGTTGCAATTTAATATTCGTAATCAATGAAATAGAATATTATTTAAATAGTTTAATAATAAAATGATGTGTTCACTTTAGACAATTATAAAGCGATTATCTTTATTTTATTAAATTAAATTTATGCCATTTGACGTCAAAATAATAAAACTTAAAATAAAATAAAAAAAATTTCATATCAATATAATATGTTTAAATATTTCTAACGAATTTCAAATATTTTTTTTTTGTTTTTTTTCATTTTATATGATGAATATTTAATTGAGCTTGAATGTGGAGAAAACCTATCCGTTTGCTCATTGCCATGTTAAATAAAATTTGTTTTATATAAATATTCTCTTTAATAAAACTATTTATTAAATTAATAAATGAAAAACATATTATTTGAATCCGTTGCATCATAAAACTGTTTTACTTGAAAAAATCCATGTTTTTTTTTCTTCCTTTTTTTCTATGACAATCATTGTTGATAAAAACAAAAGTCGCAACTCGTTTTAATGTGTTGACTTTCATCATTCAGACTTTTAGCTTTGGTTTTTTTTCGCATGCAAAATACAAAAATACACACCGAATTCTTTTCTTTATATTCTTTCCAACATAAGAATAACCAGTTGAAAAAAGGTAAACATATTAAGTTTTCAAAAAACGTAACCAAGAAAAAAAACCAATAACTCAGTTTTTTTTCTCAATTGAATTTTATTTATAAAATATTCTAATTACTTGACATTCAAAAACAAACACAACAGAAAATTTTTTACCAAAACTTAGTTCAATTCATAAGGTACTGACAATGCAAAATTCAAATAAAAATTTTTTTTCGGTTTTTTTTTAAATATGATTTGAAAGAGTTTGAGCTACTTCACGAAAAACTACTTTTTAGCGTCAAAAAATGCTTTTTTCAGGTCGTAAAATACGAAAAACGAGAAGGATGTCGTTTTTTTGTTGAAAAACACATCTTTTTCAAAATATAGGAAATTTTCTACTTCATATTTTTTCCAACTTTCAAAATACTTTTCTTTTTTAGATTCTACATCAAAAATTGAATAGAAATAAGTTATTAAATCGACTCTAATCTCAACAGTCTTTTGATGGTGACACTTCAAATCGTGCCAAGTGCAATACGTACAGGTCGATTTTATAAACCTATTAAGTGTTTCTGCATAAACGATGGAATCAAACATTTTATCTCATTTTGTTCATCATATCATCAGTCACAAAAGTACGTATCGCGTTTGTTCTTTCGATTTTGAATCAAATCGATAGAATTTGATCTGTTTTTCTCTATTTTCTTCATAAAAATTAAGCTTTTGTGCAATAATATTATGATGTTCGGAATAAACGCAAAAAACTGAATGGATTGATATGTAATTTAACATTTTACATTGATTTCAGGTAGATTTACAAAATCGATCTGTACGAATTGCACTTGGTACGATTTGAAGCGTCACCATCAAAAGATTGCTGGGGTTAGAATCGATTTAACAACTTATTTCTATTCAGTTTTTTATGTAGAATCTAAAAAGAAAAGTATTTTGAAAAAGATGTATTTTTCGGCAAAAAGAACGACATCCTTCTATTTTTTCGTATTTTTCGACTTGAAAAAAGGATTTTTTGACGCTAAAAAGTAGTTTTTCGTGATCAGTAGATCAAATTCTTTCACACCATGTAAAAAAAAGCAAAGAAAAAACAATTTTACTTGAATTTTGCATTGCCAGCACCTTAATAGTCAGAAAAAAGTTTTTTGCTTGTTGTTTTTTTTCATATTCTGTAATAATAAACGAGTTCATGTTCATATTTAAAAATATCTTAAAACCTTATTAATTAGACAAACAAAATAAAACTTTTATATTTTTTTTACTTCTTTGAATGAAAAATGTTCTCGATTTTAAATGAAATTTTTCTCGAATAAAAATCAAAAAGCTAACATTAAATATCAGATTATGAGACTTTTTCAATCTGAGAACTAGAGAAAAATCTTGTTAATTAATTTGAGTTTTCATTTATTTGAACAAGAATCTCATTTTAATCAAATAATTTTTCAACAGAATTTGTTTTTTTCTTTTACAATAGATTTTTAGAAAATGTTTTTTTTTTCTGTGTAAATATTTATCAAAATTATAAATATTGAATAAATGTTTCTAAAAAAAAAATTCTTTTTCAATTATAGAAAAGAATATTTAATATTTTTATATAACCTAAAAAGAATATAAAATGGCATCAAGAAATCAACCATCTATGATAAAAGTAAAGAGAACTAATGATCCAGCAGATGATATAAATGTATTATTATTAGGACAAACAGGTGTTGGAAAATCAACATTTATAAATGGTTTAGCTAATTATCTTTGTAATGATACATTAGAACAAGCTGCTAATGATCAAATGCAAGCTATTATTCCATCTGCGTTTTCTTTTACTCATGATGAAACATTTGAAGAAAGAATGATTAATATTGGACTAGATGATGAACATGAAAATTTTAATGAGCATGGCCAATCATGTACACAACAATGTCGAAGTTTTGTTTTTCCAGTTGGTGAAAAAAATTTACGAATAATAGATGCACCTGGAATTGGAGATACTCGAGGTCTTGATCAAGATAATAAAAATTTTCATGAAATTTTAACATTTATTTCACAATATGAACATTTAAATGGAATTTGTATTTTACTTAAACCAAATGAAGAACGTTTAACTATACTTTTTAGATTTTGTATTAATGAACTTCTTAGACATTTACATGAAAGTGCAAAAGAAAATATAATATTTGTTTTTACAAATGCTCGTTCAACTTTTTTTAAACCTGGTGCAACATCAAAAATTCTTCGAGCACTTTTAGATGAACATAAACAAAAACAAAATATTGAAGTATCCTTTACAAGAGATAATACTTTTTTGTTAGATAATGAACCATTTAGATATTTAGCTTTACGTAAAAATAGTATTGAATTAAGTAATGAACAAACATTAAGTTATCAAAAGAGTTGGGAACATACTGTAAAAGAATATTCAAATCTAATGCGTCATATCGTAACACGTCCACTTCATGCTGTTAGTAATACATTATCACTTAATGAAGCTGAACAATTAATTCGAAAACTTACACGTCCTATTGCTGAAACAGCTAAACTTATTCAAGAGAATATTCAACTTGCTAAACAACATAAAGAAAATGTTTTAAAAAATCCTAAAATAGCTTCTCAAGGTTTACCACAAAATGATGTTCGAATTCGACATTTAGATAATCCAAGAACAGTATGTACTAGTGATAAATGTTGTCAAACTATTACTGTTAATAATGAAATCAAAATTGAATATAAATCGAAATGTCATGATATATGTTATTTAAAAGGTGTTGTACAAGAAACTATTAATGATCCAAGAATGTTAGATTGTGAAGTTATCGATTATAAAACAGGTTAGATTTTTTTCACTTTTTTTAAATCAAGTTATTTATCAAACATATATATATATATATCGATTCTTTTTTGTTTACTTTTTAATATTTTTAGTCAGTTAAACAATTCATTTTATAATTTTCAATTATTTATAGAATTTCAAAGATTCTATTTTATATATTTTAATTAGAATTCTAAACATAATTAGAATTAAAAATGACTAAACAAAAAACAAATATATTATTTTAGGAAAACAATAAAAGAAGTTCCCTTCCTCAGAAGAGCGAAAAAATTTGTTCAAAGTTCGGAAATAAATCAGATAGATGCTTACTGTGAGGAACGAGATTTTCTTGTGAAATAACTCTAGTCTACGAGATGTTTTTCACTCAGTATATTTTCTATTAGTTCAAGGAAGCTAAAGAATTTTGTGTCAGTTCTACATATGAGCCCAAAAGAGAATGCACTAACAAGCTTCTATTTTTTCAATGAAGCTTAACTGATGATATTTCATAGAACTATATATAATCGTCTATTGTACGATTGATCTAATCTCATGTAATTTTAACAGGACAAAAATCACCAGTTGATCGATCAGTATAATGTTGCACTATACCAGCGGTTTACCGCCAAATTTTTATTGAAAGTGGTGTATCGTACTGTCACTTATCGAAACGGCTGAATATCTTTTTAAATCTATGAAAAGTAACAGAATTAAATCGATTTCGCAGCATTTCAATGATGTTGTGATGTATTTGAAGCGCCTATAGAGTAGTGACAGAGTCCAAATTGGTTCCAATTCTTAGATAAATTTTTTATTATTAATATATTCAAGGCGATGACACCCATCAATGGATCATAGTATAGAGTGGCCTAAAAGTTTCTGTACCGCAGAGAAAATTGAACATCTCTGCGATATTTTGACCAAATGGGTTAATTCTTTTACTACTGATCAAGAAACGTTGATAAAAGCTGTCTTGAAGTAGTACAATTGCCGTGAATGAAGAAATATTACCATCCACAAATTATGAGAAAACAATATTCACATCGCCACAAATGTGTTGAAATATATTATGAAATTGTTTCTCTTTCGATAAGCTTGAATTCTTTCTGATAATAAACTGAAATTTGGATAAAAAACTGTCTCAACAACCGTTCATAGTTGAAACCAGAGTTTGTAAGGGCTACCACTGATTCTTTCGAGTACCGCGATATACCGGTGGTACTGAAAATAAATATGCGATATGAAATGTCAAATGTTAGATTTGACAAGTTCAATATATATCTAAATGAAAATATTAATTACAGAGAATCTATTTAGCATTTCAATTTGTCTATTTAATATGAATAGAGAATTTTTTTATTTTTTCAATAAATTAATTCAATTGATTTGAATTGCTATTAATTATTATTTTAAAATATGTATTATTGTCTAGGTCAATGTACAAAATGTAAATGTTCATGGCAAAAACATCAACATATAACGTATGAATATGAAACAAATGTTCGTCGTCTTACTGAGGCATCGTCATTAAGTGATATTGATAAACGAATAAGTGATTTAAAAGATGAAAAATCAAAAATAGAAGATGTTTATAAAAAACTTTCAAAATTTCTTCATGCAAATGCAATTCTTCCATTAAATGATGATATATTAGAATATCTTAGACTTTTTATAAAAGAAGAACAAATGAAAAAAAGTGCTGGTAATCAAAATAATGATGTTATTCAAGGTCTTGAACAAATGATGAAAGATTATGAAGAAGAAATAAATTTATTTAAAAAAACAATAGAAAATGAAAAAGATCGTTCAAATGCAAAAGATGTACTTAAACCTGATGAAATATTTCCTTTAGTTGGAAGTCTTTATCGATTACCCATTAATGGAAAAAAAATTCGTGAACAAGTCGATGGTTTAAAAATAAGTCAAAATAATATTTCATCGAAACGAGAAGTTTTTGTTGAATTACCAGTTAAAGCTAATTCATCAACAATAATGCGTCAATTCCAAAATATTATTTCAAATAAATAAATTTTGTTTTCCACAATCAAATTGAATATAATAAGAAAATACTCGAATCAATTTATTTTTAAAAAAAACATTTTTATTTCAAATTCTATCGTTTTTATTGTTTTTTTATGAAAATAAATAAATGATTTTTTTTTAATCTTTCGATGATTATTCAAGACGAACGAACACGGAAATTCAACATAAATATGATAAATCAACAAGTTATTTTTGTGATTTTCTAGAAGAACGAGTGTGGATGTAGACGTGGGTGTGACTACGTATTTAGGTGGTCTTTTCACATCTGCTCACTCTCAGACCCACATCTACACCCATCCACATCCATACCTACGCACTCACACCCACTGTTGCAAAGGGCATGGATATATTTTGATTCTTTTCATATCCACACTGTGTGGCGGTTTATCAAGATAAATGGAGTCGTTAACTGGATCGATGAAACTGCGGTAAGCTGCCGGTATCTTGGCGATTTTTATCATATAGAATGCTAACAGTGTTTTCTTCTCAAATAAAGTTAAAAAGTTTAACAAAGTATTCTAAAAAAACCTTCTCGAATAAAATACACATCTTTTCTATTGTCATATTTTTGGGATGTAATGTGCTCATTTACGCAATACATTACATTAAATACAAGGTATTTTTCTCTAAATCTTAAATTATTTTGTTGAATTAGAATTTCAAACGAAAGAACCCACTGTTCGGTCAAACTTCACGCAATTGCTCCAATTCATAAACTTGAAAAAGAAATTTTCATTGATATACAAAACGTTTGCAGAATTATGTCTCTTCGAATATTATTTTATTAGACTTTCGTTTATGGATTTTTGTCCGCCGCTGTTTTTCTTTTGCAAAAATGATTAAAAATAAATTCTTCCGTTATTGTTAATGATGCAAAAAGTAACAAGAATCTTATTTTAGTCTTTTCTCTTTATTATTGAAGATGGATTTCATGTTAGAGAATTGTGTATTTAAAAAAAAGTACTATTTTGGTTGCTCATTGTATCGACACGTGTAAAACTTATCTTGCATTGTAACAGTAAAATCCAAATATTGACATTTTTAACCATATCTTTACGCGACTGTTTCGTTTCTTTGTTATCTTATGTTGTAAAATTTTCGCTTATCTTTGTTTTTTCTATTTGCTTTTATTTTGAAGGCTGAAACGAAATGGAGAGAAAGAAAACGTGAAGAAGGTCTTGAATATATTCAAGAAGAATGAATATTCTCTCGTGAACGATCAACTATATACACTCAAAATTTTCGAATAAAGTTCAGATAGCAATATATGACATATTTATGAGTACTTTTACAAATCTGCTGTGTTATTAGACTCTTCGCAATACACTTCTTTCAGTTATGTGTATAAGAGAAAATTACACAACCACGATGAAACTTGATGACACATTGTTGTTAAACACATTTAAATAAAGAAAGGCAAATTTAAAGAAGCATTCATTTTAACGGCATACACTGCTCGAAAGCAAGCAACATTTATGGCTAATAAAATTTTTTCACTTCTTTTGGCGTTACCTGTCGAGCTTGTTTATCGCATTCTGGACAATCTTGATGAATTCATACTTATATGTTCAGTTCGTAATGTGTGTATACGACTGAATATGATCACTGATACTTATCACCTATATCAGGTAAATTTCATCTTTATCGTATAGTCGATTTCTTTTATCTTCAAGACATCATTTAGTTCAACAAATGATTATTGTAGTTATTTTACTTGTTAATTTAAGAATAGTAAAAATTCGATGGTAATATTTTGATGTTGATGAATGTTAGCTACAAAACACTAATTATTACGTTATTGAAGCCATTTCCAAGGATTTTATTTAGTAATAGAATTTTAAAACGCATCGAACGTTTTTGCATCACAGTTTTGTTTTCCTTCGCCAGTTATAGAAAGGACCTATTCAGATGAATTGAATTGAAAGTCACAGGAGAGGTCTAGTAGAATTTCATGAACTATACGCTTCTGAAATTTCTGTAACTTAAAAATTCATTGAAGAGGTGAAGCCATCAAAGCAAATGAAACATAGTTCTAAGCAGTCACAGAGCCTAAAAATTGTAACAGCTGTCAGAGGTTGAGAAACTCTAACAATGCTCTGAAATCATCATAGTTATATAATCGTTCAAAGGATGCCAGTAGACTCTTATACTCAAAGGAAATGAATAAGAAGTGTTTTGAGTACATTTTTACTATGACACTTATGATAATCTTTAGATCAAATGAATGAACTGTTACGTTTTCTGGAAATCGGTGTTCTCTAAGAGGATTTCTTAAGAAAAGATGAATGATTTATTTGATTGATAGAACGATCGGTTGATGCTGAGAACTTCTTGAGTTGATATATCGCTTACTAGTAATGTGTTAGTGTTCTTTTCTGAACAAATTATTCAAGTTTCTCTTTTTCCGTTCTAGCCATCTTTTTCTATCTGTGATATATTCATACATATTAAACCAGCATTGTTTCTTAACGGAACCAAGAACTACAGTAGAAAGTAAATTCTATAGAATACAAATACTCATCAAACTTCAGTATACATGATCATGAGAATAGGGGTTGACTAATATTGCAATGATTAAAATTTCACCGACGAGATGAATCTATGAATATTGAACCGGTGAAAATTCATTGATACCATAATTAGCCCCTAAATTTTATTTCAAACATAATAATTTCAACGCATGCGCAAAAAAATTAATAGGCAGAAATATCTCAAATAACTCGAGATGGTTACATTTGAAACATTCTTACTAAAATTATATATCAACAACTACCGGAGCATTCTAGAATCTATTCGAAAATTATACAAATTATAGTAATTGTTTCTAACGTAAAACTATCTTATCTGAACTACTGTTTCTCTTTTTTACTTTGTATGTGTATAGTTTATTTCATTCAATTTTCAGTTTTACGCAGCATGATCTCGTTAATTTCATTAGTATTCATTAGATATTTTCACTCGAAGATTCGACGATCCTTTTCTCTACTTAGATTTTCAAAGATTTTTTAACGACTACAATATTCATTCGGTCTTCTTAGATTTTTTACGTTTTTCATCACATAACCTCCTACCCAATCATTATAGAAATGCACTTATGACAACTATCCTTCAAAGAAAGACTCAGTCAGTATCCATCACTATCACATCGAAAAGATATAAAAACCATGTTTTCACTCAGACTAACCCAAATTGACACTTTTTACGGCTAGGTATGAAAAAAACACAAGATTAATTTTCAAGTAGCTGATTCTAAATTCACGTGTTTATGAAAAACCAAAACAGATTATCTAAACATGAAATATCATCAACCCATCACAAGAACTTGACCGCCTGTCCAAACATACGCCATCGTTTTCATAATGAGAAATTAAAAAGTCATCGATAATTTTCAGATAAAACAAAATCTAATCACCATTCCCATAGACAATAAAAAAGTTATTAACTTTTATCACCATTCCTTTATGGAAATAAATCGTTAAACGATTGATAAGACCCACAATACTGACAATGTTTTTCTTCTATCATGAATAATTACGACCACCACAACGCGTGAAGTACAAAAAGAACATAATGGCAGCGTTTTATATGAAAATAAGCAATAATCTTTAGCTATCACTATTAGAATTTCAATTTCGTATAAGCACTGATCCGCTCCATCCCTACACATCAGGTTTCTTTTATACTTCTCCAAACAACGACTTCTTTCTCTCATCATTGCTTTCCGTTCTATACGACATATCAGCGACCCATTATAAGATACTTAATTTAGACATCTCTATTTCCTTGACAGTGATGTCATATAGAGTCACAAAAAGCAAATTCTTTCATTCATAGTCTAATATACATATTCAAATAACACGGTGACTCTCATTTTCTCTTCATCCCTCTCATATATCCATACGCACTCATTTACATAGACACTCACCACATTAAATCTCGACCACAATCAAATCAGACCTCTCGGAGTACAACATCTGGCTGCTGCATTACAACATAACATGGTGACCCTCTTTCTCTCTTCTTGTCTCTCATATACTCATCGGCACTTTTTCACACAGACACTCACCACACTACATCTCTCTTCCAATCCAATCGCAGACAAACGAGTACAACATGTGGCTAATGCTTTAAAACATAATACAGTAATCCTCTTTCTCTGTTACTCTCTATTATATACTTATTTGCACTTTTTCACATAGACACTCACTACCCTAGATCACCAAAACACTCGAATCTCAGACAAAGGAACACAACATCTGGCTGATGCATTACAACATAACACAGTAATCCTCTTTCTCTCTCCATCTCTCTCATATACTCATCGACACTTTTTCATACAGACGCTCACCACACTACATCTCTCTTCCAATCCAATCACAGACAAACGAGTACAACATGTGGCTAATGCTTTAAAACATAATACAGTGATCCTCTTTCTCGGTTACTCTCTATCATATACTTATTTGCACTTTTTTACATAGACACTCACCACACTATATCTCTACAAAAATCAAATTGGCGACGAGCTCGAAGATTGTATACAAGAACTGCTTGAGCGGAATGAACAATAAACGAAATCGTGAACATTGATATTGATGATCATTTGATCGAAAAGGTGAAACAATCTGTTAAATGCATGATAAAGTTTTTTTTAAATGTTTGTGTTTGGAACAATTATAGTTGATTTTGGCTTTTAACATGAGTACTCAGCAATTAATATGAAGTTGTTGATTTCACTAGATTGAATAAATGAAGACAGATCAATTTCTTTTGCGCAGTTATCGCATATGCATATTGAACGAAGAGTAATATTAATCGTAGAGGTTGTGTGTGATTGTTTCACATGGATAAAATGTATATTGAGAGTGTTTGAACTTATGAAGGATGCAGTGAGCTGTTGATTTAGAGATGTTATCGATAGATTTGGAGTCTTTGATTGATGTTTGTTTGGTTAATTTAGGAGAATATTGATGAGTATGCATGTT